AGAAGATATGAAAGATTTTTCTATTGTAAAATAAAAAATCTGACCATTTCTATAATAGCTGAAAGATGAACAATCCTTTTCTTGTTTGGTGACTAAAAAAGAAAATGTTTGCTGAACCAAAATCATAGTTAGGTAATGAAGAACAAGTCAAAAACTGTGAAAACATACTGTTCTCATTCTTAACTATTACTATTTAGTTGCTGTACACTGAAATTCATTCAATAGATTAAAAAAATCTGTACAGGCAATCAATATTAACAAAATATCTAAAGCAAATTCATAGTCTGAAGAGATTTATGTGATCTTTCTCTATTGCACATCTAATAGTTTCCAGCTTTAACAAACTGCATAGCTCTAGACCTCCAGCCTTTCTGTTATAGTTACGTGGAAAGTTGCCAAAAAATGTTTCCTGCTAAAATAGCTTTATCCTTTGTCATTTTACTGCTAAGATTCATAGAACATTTGACAAATTTGCATAATTTGTAAGATTAAAAGATTTAATATATATATTTAAATGTCACTCTTTGATAAGTTAAATAAATTACAGCCCACAGTGGAAGTTTGAAGATAAAACCCATAAAGTCTTTATGTTTGTTTGGCTGTAGCTGGGAGTTAGGAATAGAGACCATGAGGGGTGGGGGTGGGGCGGGGAGGGAACCTTTACATACTTCATCACTTGTAAAATCCTAACAAACACAGACAGCCACAAATTCCAGAGCTCTCCCAGTTCATATAACACTAGTGTTATTTAAGTGCGATATTATCCTGTTTGATAACACCCTGCTTAAAATGTCTATCCACAAACAATAATGTAAGATTATACTTAGCTAGATATTTTAATAGAGTTGAATAGTCAACTGGCTATGACATAAAGGAGGGGGGCGGAAATAGGTAAATTTCTACCTATAAATAAAAATCATTTTAAATTACATACACATTACATATTTTAAAATATAGACATTATATATATGTGTGTGTATGTATATGTGTGTGTGTGTGTGTGTGTGTGTGTGTGTATATATATATATATATATATATATATATATATGAAACAGTTTTATTGAGGTATACTTTACATGTAAGAAGATCACCATATAAGTATATACACTGAGTGGCCAGATTATTATGTGTTCAGAGATCATAATAATCTGGCCACTCAGTGTGTGTGTGTGTGTGTGTATGTGTGTATTAGAGGCCTGGTGCATGAATTCGTGCATGGGTGGGATCCAGCCAACCTGGCCAGGGCGAGGGGATACGGGCGGTTGGCTGGCCAGCCTGCCTGCTGGTCGAACTCCTGGTTGAGGAGACAATTTGCATATTAGCCTTTTATTATATAGGATTATATAGTATATACACTGAGTGGCTAGATTATTATGCATTCAGAGATCATAATAACCTGGCCACTCAAGTGTATATATAGTTCAATGACTTTAAGTAATTTATATAGTTGTGTAACCATCACCACAAAAAGTTCCCTTGTTCCTGTTTGAAATCAATCCCCACTCCTACAGCCAGTCCCAGGGAACCACCGATCTGCTTTTTGTTTCCACAGTTTTACCTGTTCTAGGAATTGCATATAAATAGAATCATACAATGTTGTGTCTTATTTCCTTTATTTGAGGATTATCTATATTGTTGCATGTATTTATATTTTGTTCCTTTCAATGCTAAGAAGTGTTCCATTTTATGGATATATCACAATTAATTTATTTATTCATCTGTGTGGATTATTTCAAATTTTTGGATCCTGTGAACAATACTGCTATGAATAATTGCATACAAGTCTTTGTATGAAAATATGTGTTCATTGTTTTTGTGTAGATACCGAGGAATGGAATTGATGAGTCAACAAGTACACGATTAGCTGCAAAACTGTTTTTCAAAGTAGTCACACTATTTTACATGTACAGCAGCAATATATGAAGTTTCTCCACATTCCTGCCAACACTTAGTATTACCAGTCTTTGATAATATGGGCATTCTAGTGGGTATCAAGTATACCATATTGTGGTTTTAATTTGTATTTCTCAATGGCCAATAATGCCGAGTATCTTTTAATGTGACTATTAGCTATTCATGTGTTTTCTTCAGTAAAATTATTATTTATATCATTTGTCAAAAATATATTTTTAAAAATATGTTTTTATTGATTTTCAGAAAAGGGAGAGAGGGAGAGAGAGAGAAACATCAGAGATGAGAGAGAATTATTGATAGGCTGCTTCTGCATGCCCCCTACTGGAGATCAAGTCTGCAATCCAGGCACGTGCCCTTGACCAGAATTGAACCCGGGACTCTTCAGTCCACAGGCCAAAGCTCTAGCCACTGAGCCAAACTGGCTAAGGCCCAAAAAGTTTTTTTTAATACTGCTTGTATTAGCCAGGGAAATGCTCCAAAACACAATTGAGATCTGTTGCACTGGGGAATTTATTATTTTCTACTCCCATTACTGACTCCTGGCTTCCATCAGCCAAGCTTTCCTGGGCATGGTTTGGATTTGAGAGCTAATTAGTTCTGTGCTGGTAGCAAAGAGTTCATATTGAGATGATTTTTAAAAAATACATTTTTATTGAGAGGGAGAGATAGAAACATCAATGATGAGAGAGAATCATTGATTGGCTGCCTCCTGCGTGGACGTGGGCCCGGATGGGGACTTGAACCAGCGGGTTCTGACAGGGAATCGAACCGTGACCTCCTGGTTCACAGGTCGACATTCAACCACTGAGCCACGCCAGCTGGGCGTGAGATGATTTTAATACCCAGCAGATTGTCTTTCTTTATACTGTATCTCTTATATTGCATGTTACTTTTGGTATCAGCTTTATTCTTTGCCAACTATACTGGTAAGATAGTTCTGCTGATGTTTTATTGTTTATTGGTGAACATAACTTCATTAATACTTTTTGGAAAACTTATTAAAACTCAAATGAATAAGTGTTCTTCATAACCAATTTAGAATTATTCCTAATAAAGTGATAAAATATGTAAAAACTATTTTGAACTAAATTATACAAAAATATTACTAAGTATGCAATTAGACTGTGCTTAGGAAAAGGTTTACAGACTTAAATAGATGTATTAGTAAGAACAAATGCTAAATATTAATGAATTAAATATCTGTGTAAGAAGATACAGGAAGTAAAAAAATAATAAAATAGAGCCAAAGAAAATTGAAGGAGGTCAAAAAGAGAAATAAATGAACCAGAAAACAAATAGTAGAGAGAAATAAAAAGCCAGAGTTCGGTTCTTTGCTCCTAATAAAATGATTAGATCCCTGGAGAATCAGGTCAAGGAAAAAGTAGGTAACTAGTGTTAGAGAGAAAGGTGGATATTATAACTCATCCCCCAAATGGTAATAAAAGAATTTTATAAAAATGTATGCCAATGAATTTTTAAAAAATTATATTGATTTTTTTTACAGAGAGGAAGGGTGAGAGATAGAGAGCTAGAAACGTTGATGAGAGAGAAACATCGACCAGCTGCCTCATGCACACCCCTTACCGGGGATGTGCCCGCAACCAATGTACATGCCTTTGACCAGAATCGAACCTGGGACCTTTCAGTCCGCAGACTGACGCTCTACCACTGAGCCAAACCGGTTTCGGCTACCAATGAATTTTTAAAATATGAGGTAAATTTCTAGAAAAATACAACTCACCAAAACCAACACAAAAAAAGAAATAAGTTTAAATAGTAATGGAATGGTTAAAGAAACTGAATTTGTAATTAAACTAAAAAAATAAAATTTATAATAAAAATCCTTCTCAATAAGGTGGTTTTATCAGCTAATTCTATCAGTTGTCTAGGGTAGAAATAATTTTAATTTACACGAATTATTCCACAGAATAAAAAAAAGAGTGGCCATTCCTTGTTTTATATAGTCAACAACAACAAAAAGTATAAACTAAAAATAAGAAGGAAATGAACACAATAATAATAAAGTCAGAATAATGGGTATCCTTAGGTAAGAGGGAAGTTGGGAAGGGCAGTCAGGTAGGCTTCTGGGGTCTGGCAGTATGTTTCTTGACTAGGAGGTAGTTTCCACCAATTTGCTTTATAATAAATCGTTAAGATGCACATTTATGTGCATAAACCTTGCTGTATGTGTATTATAATTCATAATAAAATTTTTATTTAAATATATGGGACCAGTGTCACTTAATAAGAGAATAGTATAAATATTTGTTGACTCTCATTCTTAGATTTCAGTAGTTTTCTTAACTCTATCCTTACTCACTCTAACAGATTTACAATTTCCATTTCTTGGAGATGACTTTTTAGAGATTAATCTCTTTAATATTTATTAGCTTCCAAATTCTATCAACATACATTATACTGAAATAAGTCATTATAATTTACATTTTCTCATAATACATCTATTGAATATTCTATATTGCCTAACATGGGACATTGTTTTTAAAACCAAAAATTTAATTATGGGTGATAACACACAGAGATTCACCAATAATCTGTATGTCTGCACAGTGCATATTATAAAGACAAATAAGATGGGACCAAATAAACATAAACTCAGCAGTTTTTCTGGGAACTTGCACAATCTATTTCCTATCATTGATCATTTTAATCTGTTTGTTTTCAGTCTTTGTCTATTCAGCCATAGTTCAAAACCCAGGCATCTGTTTAGATGTAAAAAGCTTTCACAGTAACAGGAAATTTGATTTAATGATCTAAAAAGTGAATGATCTTTTATTAAGACCAAGCCATTTTACTTCTTTAAAACTATACTAGAAGAAACAGCTAAGTGAATTTCAAATTCTATTTTGACAGCAATTATAAAGCCTATAGTGAACTATTGTTCCTACCCATCTTTCTAAACAACTTTTAACAAGTCCTTTATGGTGAATAATAAGCATCAAAATATAGCGGACTAAAACAATTCCAACTCAAATTATGAAGACGAAAAACCCAAACTTAGGTCTGTACACTATCCTGAATTGGATAAACTTAAATAAAAGTAGTATTTTTATCATAAAGTTTCTCACTTTTGGAACATGAGGATTAAATTCCACAGCTCTATGAATTGCTTCCACAGCATTAATTTCCGCTGTGCTTAACCCTCTTCTGGAGGCTGTTTCTGGAGAGAATCTGTAAGAAAACCACAAAATTAAGAAATGAATATTTAAAAAATATATATGGGTTTAGATCATAATCTAATAAGAGTTTCTGGTGATGATCAAAGACAAAACCAAATAACTATTAAACATCAAATTAAAGCCGTGGTCCATCATATAATAAAGGCAGCGTAAGAAATGGAAATCTTCAAATTTAGGTAATGAAGGACTACAAAAGAGGACCACTGAAGGCACACTTTGGGAAAAAGAATAAAAGATGAAAGGCTACATGGGGATATCCAGAGAATCTCCCAAAACAGAAGTACATTCTTATTAAATTTTCACAAAAAGCAAAGACTGTGAATACTCCATTCTAATTCATATAAGTAGTAATCTAAAGTAACCAACCTTTCGCCGAAACCGGTTAGGCTCAATGGATAGAGCGTCAGCTTGGGGACTGAGAGGTCCCGGGTTCGATTCAGGTCAAGGGCATGTACCTTGGTTGCGGGCATATCCTCAGTAAGGGGTGTGCAAGAGGCAGCTGATCGATCATTCTCTCTCATCGATGTACTAGCTCTCTATCTCTCTCCCTTCCTCTCTGTACAAAATCAATAAAAATATATTTTAAAAAAATAAAATAAAATAAAGTAACCAACCTTTTGGTTGGTTTCTGGACATCTGATTTGTGAAATAAAGTGGAATTCATTAAAGGCAGCCACAAATGCAAGAAATACAGAAAAAGGCTCAGAGCCTCCTAAGATCAAGGTTATTCAGAAGGAAGTAGAAAGGAAAGCGAGCATTGTTCAAAGTCAGTGGATGGCAAACATAATACTGAGTTCAACAGTCTTTCTAAATTATTGTAGTTCCCGTAACTACTTACTTATCTGAAACAGTCCTTGTCTTCAACAGTGCTGCTGTATAACAGATTGCTGCTGACTTTGGAAGGCTTATATCTGTAATAATAATTTCCAATTTAAGTAAGAATTACCAAAAATACCTAAAGACAATTTTTAATAAAAATAATTCAAAGGACAAATTCAACAGATACAATTTAGTACTAGAAGCATGTGGACATGTAGTTGGAAAACCTGAGTCTTGGGAGAAAAATTAAGATTCAAAAAACAATAGAAATATTTAATAGTAGTTAAATCCAGGTAATACAACCATGGGTGATTTTAATTTTTTCTTCTTCCTATGATTTTATATTTTCTACATTTTCTTAAATGATAATTTGTTATAAAATAAAAGATTAATATGGAACTATAATAAATTATATAAACATTTCTTAAAGAATGCACAAAATAGAAAATTTTGATACACTTCACAAACAAAACGAAAGATAAAAATAATTTAATTACATTAATAAATATAAAAAAAACATTGAAAAGATTCAACATCTACTTATGATAAAAACTCTCAGCAAAGTGGAGATAAAGGGAACGAACACACCTCCAAATATTAGAGCTATCTATGAAAACTACAGCTATCATCATAATCAGTGACAAAGTGTTAGAAGCTTTTATTCCTCTAAGATCAAGAATAAGACAAAAATGTCCACTTTCACTACTCTTATCTATAATAATAAAAGTGTAATATGCTAATTAGACTAGACAGCTAAATGACCTTTCGGACATCCTTCTGGACGACCTTCTGAATGAAGCCAGGCTATGACAGCCAAGGCAAGTCGCAACGGCTGCGAGGGCTGAGCCCCTCGCACAAATTTCGTGCAAGGGCCTCTAGTTCAACATAATATTGAAGTCCTAGTCACAGCAATCAGACAGAAAGAGAAATAAAAAGAAAATTGGAAAGGAAAATGTAAAATGTTACTATTTGCAAATGACATGATACCCTAAAGAATCCACCAGATATATATTAGAATAAATGAAGTCAGAAAAATTAAGAGCATAACCCCAATTATAATTGCATCAAAAAGAATAAAATACTGCCTGGCCAGTATGGCTCAATGGTTGAGCACTGACCCATGAACCTGGAAGTCATGATTCGATGCCTGGTCAGAGCACATGCCTGAGTTGTAGGCTTGATCCCCAGTGGGGGTATGTAGAAGGCAGCTGATCGATGATGTTTCTCTCTCATTGATGTTTTTAATTCTCTGAAACAGTCCTTGCCTTTCTCTTTCTTTAAAAATCAGTAAAACATATTTTTTAAAAAAATACATAGAAATAAATTTAACCAAAGAGATAAAAGATCTCTGCTATGAAAACTGTAAGACATTGGTGAAAGAAATTGAAGAAGACACAAATAAATGGAAGGATATACAAGCTTATGGATTGGAAGAATTAATATTGTCAAAATCAATATCACCCAAAGCAATCTATGAATTTAATGCAGTCCCTATCAAAATACCAATGGAATGGCATTTTTTCATAGAACTAGAACAAATAATCCTAAAATTTATGTGGAATCATACAAAAAACACATAGCCAAAGCAATCTTTGAGAAAAAAATAACAGAGTTGGAGGTATTATGCTACCTAAATTCACATTATATTACAAAGCTATAATAATCAAAACAGTATGGTCTTGGGTGGCACAAAAAAGACACACAGATCAACAAAATGACCAGAATGACCTGTTACTATGACATGCACTGCGATGGCCAACTGGCCCAATTGGGCCCTGATCAGCCCTTACAACTGTTCACAGCCCCTCCCCCCAGCTGGCGGGCCAACCTCCTGTGTCCCTTAACCCCCACCAGCCTGCCGCACCCCACCGTGCATGAATTCACACACAGGGCCTCTAGCAGTCAATAATAGTGTAATTACTATATATGAAGTCAGATAGGTACTAGGCTCATCTGCTGATTACCTCATAAGGTATACTAATCACTATGATATATACCTGAACCTAATTTAATACCATATGTCAACTAAAATTAAAAAGTAATGCCTAAAATAATATTATTAGGAGAGTATAAATTCAAACAGAATTCCTTTGAAGTTTTAGACTATAGATGTTCCAGCAAATGAAGAACCAAAAACCTAAATTGCTTTTAAAACTTCACAATTCTAGAATGGTAAAAACTGGGGACTCATAAAAATAACTGAAAACACAGAAGCATATCCAATTTGCATATTAGGCTTTTATTATATTATGTAGAATTATAAAAACTGTTAAGTTGTGAGTTTTATTTTAGATTTAATGAATCAGGACTTTTCTGCTGTTTTATATTTGATTCCTAAGCTTGTTCATCGTAAGCATCATAAGCAGGCCATGTATCTGATCAGTTACATATGGAAAGAATTTCTCATAAATTTCTCCATGAGCCCACAGTATTCTGAAGCAGTTCCTAAAAATTCCAGATGTTTAAAAGAAATAAACTTCTCTTTCCAAGTGCAACACATTTCAAACCTGCCAAGTCATAGGGATTCCCAAGCTAATGGGAAGGAACTTACAAATGGACAAGTGTGAATAAAACTAGTATGTTCTCTTATAGTGAAAGATATGATCAGAAGCATTATGCTAGTTAGGATATATGCAGCTTGGGTTTAAAAGCTGATGACTCACTCAGAATGAGGAGAAAGGCTATGCTTTGTAAAATTCTCCCAACTCCATTTCCCAACTCTCAACAGTTAAATTTGTACTGTTATAGTATAACTACATGCCCGAAATTCATGCATTTGTAGGGTTCCTTGGCCTGGCCTGCAATCAGGGTCAATCTGTGAGATGACTGGCACCCAACTTGGCCAGCCTGGCACTGCCCACTAGCCAGCTCCGCCCCCCCACCTGTGCCTGGTCACAGGGTGACAGGCAGGGCTATTAGGGGGCCCCCTGCTGTCACCAGCCTTGGCTGGCCTGGGGCTTGAGGGCTGGGGCCAGTTCCTGTGTTGAGCATCTGCCCCCTGGTGGTCAGTGCACAACTGGTCAGTAACCAGTCATTCCACCCTTTGGTTAATTTGCATATTAGGCTTCTATTATTTAGGATAATAAAAACCATGTGATCAACTAAAACAAGTATCACTCACCATCATATTTTGCTAGGACTGCCTGAACATCTGCATAGGCCTGTAATTCTAAAAGTGATTCTAGGAGATTTTCATGGATGTTCCACATGGTAAGAGGAGGAAATTCTTTCATCAACTGTATAGTAAAAGGAAGAAAAGATTAAAATTACAGCAAAGAAACTCAACATAGTGAGTCAGATTCACTGAAATAGAAATTCTTTTGTTTCTTAACAAAACTGTGGAGGCTTTATCCTTAAGCAATAATTATCTTTTCATAAAAACTATCAATTAAAAAACAATGATTCTACATTAAAATAACTGGCAACTCAAACACATTTTTAGTTTTTTGAAGAATATGAAGGTCCAGTTATCAAATTCACTTACATCTCTCATTATTTTTACTGCTTCTCTTATTCTTCCTAATTTTCTTGCACACATTGCCAATCTTCTTTTAATATAAGCCAGTACATTGGTATCTCTCCCTATTTAAAAAAAATGACACAGCTATCATTTTTGTAGTATGATTTTCTATTTCATTAACATACCCATTAATTTTATTTGCTTACTCTGGCAGCTTTAATGAAAATTAAATTGTGTCAGAATGGAAAAATATTAATGATTGTTGTATTTGGATGATGACCATTAAATGTGGATTCATTATGCTGCTCTATTTGTGTATATGTTTGAAGTTTCTTATATTAAAAGCTTATATTGAATTACTTTTACCTCTACCAATAGGTAATATGAGAATATAGAAAGTAATCTGTAGCCGAAGCCGGTTTGGCTCAGTGGATGGAGCGTTGGCCTGTGGACTGAGGGGTCCGGGTTCGATTCCGGTCAGGAGCATGTATCTTGGTTGTAGGCACATCCCCAGGGGGGTTGTGCAGGAGGCAGCTGATCGATGATTCTCTCTCATCAATGTTTCTGACTCTCTATCCCTCTCTCTTCCTCTCTGTAAAAAAATCAATAAAATATATATTTTTTAAAAAGTAATCTATGTATACTTAACAAATGCATGTCAATATTAATATAAAAAAGCACATATAATAAGTAACATTAACGTATTATTTTACGTTTCTGCATAAACAATATTATTTTAACATCATTTATTGTTTTAACTGAAAAAAGATTTTTAAACACAAAATTTCCATGGCTAGTGCAAACTTTTGCTCAATAGATACTAACTAATAAACTATAAAAATACTTCTAGAAAGAGCTAATAGTTCTGCAAGTATTTCATAACGATATTTGAGACAATACAAGGACAAATGCTGTAACTTTTTTATAAATACAATTTCATTAGTTCCAGGCTGCAAAATCACATATTCTCACAGTTGTGTTTTGTAACAAGCATTAACGAAACATTCCGTATACATCAATGTTTAGAGAGAAAACGTTACACAAATTTTAATTTCCACAAATAAAAGATTTAGAACTTAACTGCTAGCAGATAATGCATTATGTAAACATATGTCAATTTTTGGCCCACTATCTACCAACATCATGAAACTAAAACTCTCTGGCCACACAAAAACAGCAGGAAGCAGCAGTACTACATATTCTAACATCTTTGGTAAAAGGGTCTCAATCATAATTGGGAAAGTATCTCTGTAAGAAGAAAGAACGAACCTCAGTTGCTATGGCTCATAAGATCTCAAACACAACAGAAAAAAATCAACCAAAGAAAGAAACCATGCCAAGTAAGGCTGGTTTTTGTACTAAAGGGGCCACTATACAGCAATACATACAGTCTGAAGAGCAAACCAATTGAGGTCCCCCTTACGATTGCTTGGGGTAAGGTAAGGATAAAGGTAATAGCTGCTTGTCATTACTAGAAGAGTCTCATGGTTCTTTCTGAGTTGTGTTTCTCCGATAATCAGCCCAATTCTCATATGAAATAAGTTACTATCAAGTCTTAGAGTAGCACCTCTCTCAATAACCAGAGCAGATCTGTTTCCTTCCACGAGCATTCTCTAGCTAGTATGTACTTCAGTCTTTCTGGCTTGTAGATATTATGAATAGATGATCATTTAGGAAAAGCAGCTAACCTCTAAGTATTAAGTTTATTATTGTTGGTGTTTTAAACATAAAAGAGCCAATTGCAGGACCTGAAAAACAGATAAAAATTAGTTCGAATTCGCTTACTCAGTTGGGCTTCATGCTGAGGACTTTGGTGCTGACACTGCTGCGACCGCCTATAAATCGTTTCTCCTGCCTTGAGTGCCTGCTTAAATAACTTCTCAACGTCGACAATAGTTGTTGCTTCTTCCTCAGCCAATAGAATATATGCAGAGGCACAGCTACAGAGAAAGCAAGCAAGACAATTTAAACAATAAAGCAAATATATCTCTTGGGTATGTCCCTTTGTTCTATGTTATATTTCCCTGCCTTTCCCTACATTTTCCATCTCTTTAAGAATAAAAACAACTTCCATCAGTAATTTATTAGGGCATTCTAGTATATCCTTTATGTCTTATTTGCACATTTTTCCATTTCCTATCTTTCTTTCCCTCCCTTTACTTTCTTTTACTTCTATATTCATTCTGATCCGTTATCCTGTATTTTCCTTTTGTGGAAGAGGGAGAAAAGAAGATGTATAAAAAATTACCTAACTGTTGTTCAAGGGATGATGTACTCTAGTGGTCATGCCTGCTCTAATCACTATGTACTTTGTAATATTCATCAAACGGATAACGGAGGTATAGGAAAGTGTGACGTTTGACAAGAATATCCCATGGCCAATCAGACACCTTTACAATTGGACTCAGAAACATATTCCAGGACTAGACTTTTTTCACTACACTTGAGTATTTCCTCTTTGTGCTGCCCGTCCTCTCTCAGACTTATCAACAACAGTGCTGCAGCAAAACATCCCTTGATCTGCAGCCCAGTCTTTCCTCACACCCATGCCGACTCCCAGTTTTCTTTTCTTCACCCCACCAAAACACAGATTTCTCTTTATATCCTTTAAGTCAAAAGCTGGTTAATAAAATAAACAAACTGGTTTGGGGACAAAAAGAAAGAGAAACAGAAAGTTTATTTTCTATTCCCAGAAATAACTAGTTCGTCTCTCTTCTAGAGACAACGTCCCAGTTCTGATTATCTAAGTATAGACTGTCCAATATTGTGGTCACTGGCCTCATGTAGTTATTGAGCATTTGAAATGTGTCTAGTCCAAACTGAGATGCACACCAGTCAGTGTATGGTCGGTGCAAAACGCACACTGAATTTTGAAGACTTAAAAGAATATAAAATACTTAACAATTTATTTTTAACGTTGAATATGTTAAAACATATTAATATGTTGAATATAGCTAATAAAATATATTCTTCAAGTTAATTGCATATATTTTTACTTTTTAAATGTGGCTACCAGAAAATTTAATGTTACATATATGATTTGCATTACAACAGGGGAGAAGTTATTAATAAAAATACAAGGTGGGCATGGAACAAAAGTGATGGCAAGATAGCAACAAAAAAATTGGAGACAAGCCCTGGCTGATATGACTCATTTGGTTAAGCATCATTCCATGCTCCAAGAAGTCATGGGTTTGATTCCAGTTCAGGGCTCATGCCCAGGTTATAGGCTTGATTCCCAGTAAGGGGCATGCAGAAAGCAGTCAATTGATCAATCTATTGATGTTTCTCTCTCCTCTCCCTTCTTCTTTAAAATCAATAAAAACATATTTTTTAAAAAAAAGTTCTTTTTCACTGGGGACAAGACAGATCTTTCATTTGGAAAATGCAAATCACACCATTTCAACATCCTTCAACTAATACCTTAATTTGAGGTATATAATAATTTCACTAAACAGAGACTACTTCATTACTTTATATCGGGTTAAATTAGTAATCTATCCTTATAAATTATTTTAGCTTCATAGTAAGTTTTGAAATCAGGAAGAAAGTCCTCAAACTTTATTCTTCTTTTACAAGACTGTTTTGGCTATTTGAGATCTCTTGCAATTCTAAGTGAATTTTATAATCAGCTTGTCCTTTCTGCAAAAAATAGCAACTGACATTTTGATCAAAATTGCATTGAATTTGTAGATCAACTGGAGGAGTACTGCTATCTTAAAAATATTAAATCTTCCAATCCATGAGCATTGGATGTCTTTCCATTTTAAGGTCTTCTTTAACTCCTTTCAACAATACTTTTTAGTTTTCAGTATACAAGTCTTCTACCTCCTTGATTCCCACTGGGAATCGAGGCTGCAATCTTGACATGTGCCCTGACTAGGAATGAAACCATGACCTCCTGGTTTATAGGCGCATGCTCAACCACTGAGCCACACCAGCTGGGCTAAACTAAACTTCTTAAGTATGTTAATGTTTTTTATGCTATTGTAAATGGAATGGTTTTCTTATTAATGCTAAATTAATGTGAGATGCTATTTGTAACATTATGAAAGTTAATATTAATTCCTTTTACTTATTGCTAGCTCTTTCTACCTACTTTTTACTTTTCATTTTTTAAAAATATACAGCTGGGCTAAACTAAACTTCTTAAGTATGTTAATGTTTTTTATGCTATTGTAAATGGAATGGTTTTCTTATTTTCCTTTTCAGTTAGTTCATTGCTAGTGTACAGAAATACAACTTATTTTTATATGTTGATCTTGTCTCTTGCAACTTTGTTAGTTACTAGCTCTAATAATGTATATATGTATATTCTTTACAATATCCTGCATGTATTATGTCATCTATGAATAGTGATAGATTGGTATGTCCAATAGTGTACTAAAGGTTTCTTAGGCTCTGTTCATTTTCTTCATTCCTTTATTTTTATTTCTCCTCAGACTAGGTAATCTTAATTGACCCAAATCCAGTTTACTGATTTTTTTTCTGCCTGCTCAAATCTGTTGCTGTATTCATGAAGAAAGATTTTTATTTTGGTCATATTTTTCAACTCCAGAATTTCTATTTAATTCCTTTTACTTATTGCTAGCTCTTTCTACCTACTTTTTACTTTTCATTTTTTAAAAATATACATATATTTTATTTTATTTTATTTTTTTACAGTAAGGAGGAGAGAGGGATAGAGAGCTAGAAACATCGATGAGAGAGAAACATCAACCAGCTGCCTCCTGCACACCCCCCACTGGAGATGGGCCTGCAACCAAAGTACATGCCCTTGACCAGAATCAAACCTGGGACCCTTGAGTCTGCAGGCCGGAGCTCTATCCACTGAGCCAAACCAGTTAGGGCTCTACCTACTTTTTAATGGTGAGACATAATTCTTCTGCTTTCCTTTAGTTCTGTGTACATATGGCCTTCCTTTACCTCTTTGAGCATATTTAAAGTAGTTGATTTAGACTTGGCTGGTATGGCTCAGTCAGTTGAGCATTCTCCTGCACACTGTAAGGATGCCAGTCTGATTGTCAGTCAGGGCACAGACCCAAGTTGTGATTTAACCTCTGGTTAGGATGCATGGGGAAGGCAATCGATTGGTGTTTCTCAGATTAATGTTTCTCTCTCTTCGTCTCTCTCTAAAATCAATTAAAAACACATTTAAAAAAATTAAAGTTTATTTAAAGACTGTCTAGAAAGTATAAAGTCTGGGCTTCCTCAAGGACAATTTCTATTCATTTCTTTTCTGTGTATGGGGCATATTTTGCTTCTTTGCATGTCCTGTAATTTTTTTCTTGAAAACTGGGAATTTTGAATATTATAATCTAGAAACTCTAGAAATGTTCTCCTCGCCAGTTTGTTGTTACTGCTTACTGTAGTTGTTTCTTTGGTGACTTTCTGAACTAATTTTGTAAAGTTCATATTCTCTATCATGTGTGACCAATGAAGTCTCTAATCCTTCAGCGTAGTGGGCAGCCAGGAATTTGGTAGAGATTGCCTTTAACAACTGGAACCAAAAACAAGTCTTTGCAGATGGGTTGTGTGTGTGTGTGTGTGTGTGTGTGTGTGTGTGTGTTGGGGCACACCTTCAACATTCAATCAGCCAGTTTATAATTCTGCCTTAACCTTCACTTTCTGTTTGTACAGAAGTTGAGAGTTAGAAAAACATGAGAATTTAGGGTCTTCTTAAGCATGTACCTTGGGCAGTTGTGCAGCCTTTGAGATTTTCAGAAAAAATGTGGTAGCTTTTCAAAACCTTTATTTCCCAAGTATCTCATTCCCTAGCTTTTCTCCAAAGCTTTGTCTATTGTTTGCCCCAACTTTTACCCCTTGCCCCAGGCAGCAGAAATTAGTGTATTTGCCTTTAAATGTTTTACCAAATGCCCTTCCCCCCAATGTAGTTGTGTCAGTACAGGGACAGTTCCAAATTATCCTAAATAAAGGCAAGTCTCTTGGGCTGGTCCTTCAGGGAGCCAACAGACAGGTCCAAAAAAGCAACCACAATTCTTTGAGAATTAGGTCCGTTCTACTTCTTCTGGGAGTTGTTTCCAAAGGGGCCAAGGAACTAGCGAGTAGGGATGGGGCCAATGTAAGTTAAAATACCACAAGCTCTCTTACAGAAATTCAACTGTTGTTGTTGTTTTTTTTTTAATTGATTAAGCATTCTCCAAGTTGCTATAAAGTTTTGATTAGTTTCCAGAGTTTCAATAAAGTTGATTTACTGCTTTTGGGATTCCCTACACTGCCATTTTTCTTCTGCTTTGGGAAGGTCTTCTTAATAAGAATAATATATCTGGGGAGAGAGGGAAGGAGGAGGAATATAAGGGACAGTGCTAAGTTCACATTATTCAGGAAGCATACCTTGATTAATCCCAACTGGGGCCATATTTTAGTATTAGATTAATATACATTGATCTGTCCCATTTAAATATTAAGTTGACTTATGATTTTATATTTCATCATTTCAAAATATAAAGTTAACACAAAGAATTAAAAAATGCTTAACACGAAAAAAATTAAGTTAGAGACACATTTTACTTATCTTGAATCCCCATCTCATGCCGCCCATCCCATTAGTAACTTAAGTTCGCAGGGCTGAATGAATGCTTTAAATGAATGATTTAAGTGAAAAACAAAATTAAAACAAGTGGCATAGTATTTTGGTACTTTTTAATATCAAGTATTATCACCAATTAGGATCAGCACTCTTCATTTTAAAAAGTATTTCTAACATAATTTCTACTTAATGCATAGGTAAGTTTACTTTCTGAAGCAAAATACATGTCAGTGAACATGGCAAATTTTGTCTCTAGTATGCAAAAAGAGAAAGGAGATTGTTATGACTAAATAAGGGACAGACAAAAGGAAACATTAAATCATTTGCTTGGGTTTCCTTCAAAACAAATTTATTTTCCATATATTTCAAACTTACTCATTGTTTAATTCTAAAGCTTGGTAGGCTGCTTTAATTCGAGATAAAGGATTTCTTTCCCTCCATGCCTTCTGCATAACTGTAGGAAAAATATTTCAAAAAGTAGATGAGATGGTAAACATAAATAATTTTATGCAAAACACATGAAGAATGAGCTAGGAGGGTAAACAAAGGCTTAAATAACATGTTCTTAGTAAATGTAAGAAACAAGAAATTGGGGTGCTAGCTCACATTAACCTTATGAGAAATTTATATTAAATTTGGAAGTTTCACATATAATAAAGAGAAATATACTGTTTTTCTGGTCTATTTTAATAACAACACATAAGGTACTTAATCAAATTAATCACATCATTACACATGAACATTTTTATACTATGTGCATATAAAAATTGAGTCTGGGTAACATAATCAACATGAAATATTCTAGCTCTTTATAATTTTGAAAAGATTCTTTGGAAATGCTAGAAATATATAAAAAGAGTTAAAAATAAAGTCTTTGTCTAATCAATGATTCAATCTAGGAAGAATGTCTGAATTTACATTTTGTATTCAAAGGGAGGGGGTTAATTTAGAATATAGTACATTTAAGGAAAATGTCAGTTTCTACAAAGATTCAACAAAAACCTGAATTAGAATATCTCTGAAATAACAATATCAGCTATCATTTACAGTACCAAATGAAAATTTCACACTAAGTAAAGTTTCTTAAAAATTAAACAAATAAAGTAGACTCATGAAACTATCTGGCCTATTTCAAGGTTGATAAGAAAAATAGAGAATCTATAAATGTTGTTTTTGGAACAAAACCCACAACTGTCCAGAAAGAATAATGTGGAAAATGTTTGAGTTTTCCTTTGGAAACAAAATATTAGTCTTGGCTTAGAAAATAAGACAATATATTCTACTTGTGTAACAAAAATACATTTCTAATATCAAACATGTCTCCAGCTAGCTGACAGCTAATGCTTCCTCAACTTGACAGACTGATGCACATCAGCACCCATCTGATAATAACCAGGTGAAGAACAGCATTTTACTGAAACATTAAAATACAACATGAAATTAAATATTAGATTCGCCATTTTTTATGGTGGGTTCTCTTCTATAAGTTACATGATACAAGTCAAATTTTGTGAATCTTTACCAATATTTTATTTTTAAATTTAAAATTGAATTTATTTAGAAGCATTCAGAATGTCAACAAAACAGCTGCAATTTCTTTGCAATTACAGAATGGTATTCAGTTAACAGAACAACAATGATTTTGTATAAGCTGCATCAAAGACAACTGACAATGAAAAAGTTACTATTCCCATATATAATTTGTGCTGTGTACCAACAAGAACCTGCTTTAAATTTCCATGGCAATTTACCCCTCCATAAGCTTGTCCTGGGCAAGCTTAGTGGCTATTGAAAATATCACCAGGATAGGACTATCTAAAAACACATTTGGTAGTGTGTAAACTATACAAAAAAAGACACAATGCTTACACAGCCTTACATTTCAATTTTTCTCTTCAGAAGGAGTGATTTGTGTATGGGAGAGGGGGGCAGGTAAATGCTTTAAAAAGAAGAAAAAAAAAACTATGTTAGAACTTATTTATCATTCTCCTCCTCCTCTTCATCTTCATTTTCTTGTTTTTTTCTTTTTCAGCCCTCCCTTTTTTTTTTAAAATATATTTTATTGATTTTGTACAGAGAGGAAGGGAGAGAGATAGAGAGTTAGAAACATCGATGAGAGTCATCGATCAGCTGCCTCTTGCACACCCCCTACTGGGGATATGCCCGCAACCAAGGTACATGCCCTTGACCGGAATCGAACCTGGGACTCTTCAGTCCCCAAGCCAACGCTCTATCCATTGAGCCAAACTGGTCTCGGCTCAGCCCTCCCTTTTTATCTCATCAGGCTCTGCTCTAGCTTGATATGCAGCAGTATCCTTCTCGTATTTCTCCTTCAACTCGGCAGCCTTCTTTCCATAAGGCCGCTGGTCACCTGCAGCAGGGTGATTTCATGTTCCCCAGCTTCTCTGCAGCGTCACCATGGACAGGCCAGCATGCTCCCTTTGATTTTGGAGCAACACTCAGAACAAGAAAAAGGCTGAAGGAGGTCTCGGGTGCATTGGGATCCTTGAACTTCCTTCTTGTTTTCCCTTTAGAAAGAATAAAGTTCCCATTTCTCTTTCATAATGGGCCTTGTCCACCTTTGCCATGTCTTCAAGTTTTCCTTTCTCTTCAGCCAATGTGGTCTTCCACCTCTCTGAGCACTTCTCAGAAAACTCTAAGGAGCTGACTGAAGTACTTGGGCTTCCTCCTTGTGCTCTTCCTGGCAGGTTTGCACAAAGAAGGCATACGAAGACATTTTGCCTCTTGGCTTTTTAGATCTCCTTTGCCCATTTTCAGAACATTTTTTTAAATTGATTTAGAGAGAGAGAGAGAGAGAGAGAGAGGAGAAAAGGAGAGAAAGAGAAAGAAAGAGAGAGAGAGAGAGAGAGAGAGAGAGAGAGAGAGAGGAGAAGAGAGAAACATCAATTGGCTGTCTCCCACATGCACGCCAACTGGAGATCGAATCCACAACCAGGCTATGTGTCCTGACTGGGAATCGAACCTCTACCTTTTGGTGTATTGGCTGACGCTCCAACCAATTAATCCACCCTGGCCAGGGACTGCCATATTTAATTACTTCTCCTCAGGGAGCACACAGTTGCCGAGTACCTGTTCAGCCCGCACCTGCCCTGACACTGTCTCTATGGAGTATAATATACTGTATGGCTCTCTTCATCAACATTTTTTTAAAATAAATTTTATTGATTTTTTAGAGAGGAAGAGAGAGGGACAGAGCGCCAGAAACATCGAGGAGAGGGAATCATCGATCCACTGGGGGATGTGCCTGCAACCAATGCACACGCCCCCAACCGGAATCGAATCTGGGACCCTTCAGTCCGCAGGCGAGGCTCCATCCACTGAGCCAAACCTGTTTTGGCTTCACCAACATTTTAAATAGTTTGGTATTCTAGTATATTAAGAATATATCTCAATTTATTTAACAAATTCTTTTTTGATGGACAATTGTGTTACATCAAATTTTTTTGCACTGGGCCTCTAGTTTTCTTACAGAAATATTATAAAAACACATTTCAATATCTACCTTTGTATACCTGACCAAGAAGTGGAATGGTTAAAATGTATGCATCTTTTAAAAGATTCTGAATTTATACTCCAAAATTCCTCCCAATAAAATTTACATTAACTTAATATTATTTCAGGCAGTGTAGAAGAGTGACTGCTTCCATACTTCTTTACCAACACTGAATAATATTTGCCTTTATTAATACATGAAAACGATCTCATTTACACTTAGATGTCTTTTATTTCTAGTAAGGTCGTCAAATTCACCTTTAAGCATTTTTTCTTATTGTTTTCAACTGCACTATCCAGCTTCTCAAAATTATTCTTTACAACCAATGCAGTTCTAAGTCAAAGGGGAAATTAAGTATAAAGAAAAAAAATACATATTTCCTTCTAAAAAAAAAAAAAAAAGGTTAAGGAATAATTTAAAGCAAACTGCTGATTTAATATTCACCTGTCCTCTTTAAGATCTCTTGATATGCTTGAAAATAACACAAGCAGTTAACAAGTCAATCAAATTTATTTATTTTCAAGTTAAATAATATTCTAACATGCTAATAAACAGAAAAGACACTAGCATTTATCTCAAGATCAGGGGTCACAAATATTAATGCCTAAAAAGGCTAGGTAAAGAACATAAATGAATGAACTAAAAACATATGCACTGTCTAAAGAAGGGTCAAAGCTCAGGCCTAACTGATTAACGCCAAGTGGAAACGCAGGTCCAAGTATGCCATATTTTCCGAATTTCTAAAGTGTGAATCTGAATTTTAATGTTAAGTCTCCCAGTTTTTAAATGTTGGGAAAAAAATACCAAGAAAATGAATTATCCAAAATCACTATTGGCTGGCCTTGAGGATATCTTTGTTCTCTGTTTTAGATAAGCCAATAGGATAATTTCTGATGACAATATTCAAGAGAAATTTATCATATTACATATATATACACATTTGTCTGAAAAGATCAATATGGAACCAAAAGTCCATTTCTAGATTAGCATTCACAGGTAAAGTCTGCCCTTGATTTTGGTCTTTAGCTGGGAGTATGTGTAACTCTGGAAGTACATGAACCTTTGCAAGGACCAAAACAGGATGCATGGTTTTAAGAGAAACCAGTTTCTAAAGCCTTAACTTTATATGACTCTTTCCTATAACTAATCTACCTGAAGAATGTTCCTCTGATTGGTCAGCGCATGATGCAGGTTTTCCATTCCTACCCAACATCCACTTTCTCACTCCCCAAAAGATATATTCCTTTCTCTGACTTTATAAAAAGAAGTCTTACTTCTCACCTATCCTGAATCTTCCCAAGGTGCATTGCTCTACAGTATAAAAACCAGACAATTCAAAGCTCAGGTTTGGGAGTAGCCATTTTTAATCAAGGAACCTATAATAGGGTACCACCTTTAACTTACTTTTTAACAGTGAAGCTCAACATTTTTCCTTAGATACACTGAATTCAAGTATATTGTAAAATGGGGAGGGAGTGATAATGCTTACCAGTTCCATTTATCAGCAACCCTCTTCCCTTACTATCAAAGAATGCATTCTCCTACAGGAAGGTCCCCTTACAATAAGGCCAAGGGGGCATTAGTAAGAAATAATAAAGGCAGTGGAATCTTATTTTGGCTGAGGTAAGGTTTAGGCAATCTATGAGATTCTGAGACTATCTTTCTATCTTATAATCTGTGTTCAGAAGAGAGATGGCTGTCATGTGATGCATGTTAATATGTTTATCTGAATTGAAAAATGAAGTCAGACTTTGTCAGAAAGTAAATCTGATTTGGTTAATAGGACTGACAATGAGAACTCAGCCAGCCAATTAGGTTATACAGAGGCCATTTTCCAAAGTTGAAAGAGCCAAATATGGAGCTTGAAGGATTTTGACAAAAATATAATTAAAGTACACAATACCATTTAGAACCTTATGGTCAAAGAAAATTAATTTTTTCATTTATACTAAAAATTTATTGTGGAAAACTCGTACATGTGATAAAAAAACTCTCAAGCACAAAATAATCATATTAAAATCATATGAAGCTTGGGATGGATATGAATTCCAGAACAAAAAGGACTTCTAGGAAATGTACTACTATTAAAAGGTATTTGCTCATGCATTTTTCAACAGATAATGGTATGTATCAAGTCATTACATTCCTTGAGATACATTCAAATATAGGATATTCTAGTTTTATTTTCAATTTTCTATATTTGTACTATATTAAAAACCATATTCTTTGCAATTATTTAACCTTATATCAACTTAAAAATATGTGAAGGGAGTCCTGCTGGCCAGGCGGCCCAGTTCACTGAAGCGTCAGCCCATACACCTAAAGGTTTCGGGTGTGATTCCCAGTCAGGGCACATACCTAGGATTCAGGTTGGGTCCCTTGGATCCCATGCCCCCTATAGGAGATAACCGATAGACATGGGTGTTTCTCTTTCTCTGCCTCTCTGTCTCTCTCTTTAAAAAAAATAACCTTTGGTGGATTTTTTTTTTTTTAAGTGTAAAAAGATACACCATTTTCTCAAAATTCTCTTAGGAGGTATGTAAACAAAACTGTTTTTAGGACCACAGCTTTAGTGGACAGCCATAGTTGCTACACTTTTGCCATTGACGTAAACATTAAGCATATAAACATAAAGAACTGCTTTTTCAACTACTTACAATTAAACCCTTTAATGTAAGTATACTGAATACCCTAGGGTTTCCTGCTACCACCCACCCTTAATATATTTAATTCAGGAAAGAGGTATCACAATGAACTCACTTCAATGCTGGAAAACTGGCTACTTTTCAGACCCTTATTTTTGGTGATTTTCTTCTGCCTGTCAATGTGGTGAGTGATAGTGGCAATGTGGCAGTAGTTAATGGTTAAGAGCCAGACTTGAATTTGTAACCTAGCTTTAACATTTAACTAGAGGCTCGATGCATGAAATTCGTGCAAGAGCAGGCCTTCCTTTCCCGGCTGCCGGCCCTGGCTCCCCTCTGGCACCTGAGACCCAGGCTCCCTCTGGCCACAGCAGGCACCCAGGAGCGAGGTTTCCATCGCAGCCCTGGCTTCGTCTGGAAGGTCATCCTGAATGACGTCCAGTCTAATTAGCATATTATAGCCCTTATTATTAATAGATAGAAGATAGCTATATGACTTAGGCATGTTGCTTAATTCCCCTTTACTCATGATTCTTTTTTTTCTTTTTTTTATTGACTGCAGAGAGTAAGGGAGAGGGAGAAAGAAATAGAAACAACAACGATGAGAGAGAATTATTTATCGGCTCCCTCTTGTATGCCCCCTTCTGGGGATCAAGCCTGCAACCAGGCATGTTCCCGACTGGAATCAAACCCAAGACCCTTCAGTCCACAGGCTGGCACTCTGTCCACCAAGCCAAACCAACTAGGGCTCTCACTGGTTCTTTATTTTTAAAATAAGTTTGATAAAAGTACTTACTTCATAAGATGATTGGTACATTTATATAAATTTCTTAGAACAATGCTTGATGCATACTAAGTGCTTTACAAGTATTAACTATTATTAGTGAAATTGCTGAAAACATCTGTGACACCAACACTACTCATTCATTCATACTTTCATCAGATAATAAATATTAGTATTTGTATTTACAGTATGCCAGGCACTGTGCCAGATGACAGGGATTCAAAGATGATTGAATATAGTACCTGCTTTCCAAAGTTTCACACCCTATTAGGGAGAACAAACATTAAAGCAACACAATGACATTAGCAAAGAATTGTTTGTGGTTGAAATTGTTTCACTGAGGTTTGAACTATACTGTAGAACTGCAGAGAAGAAGGAAGATCCCAGAGAAGATTTTCTAGAGAATCTGACTTTTAATTTGGACCCTGAAGGATAGAAAGAAGCAGAAGGATAGATAAGGAGGGAAAGGGCATTCAAATTACAAAGCTGTACATTTAAGAGTTTCAACATTCTTTCTATAGAGAAGAGCTTAGGAAGAATTAAATAGGCATTTCTATGATCTTCCACCACTTTAAATGCATCTCTAACTTATGACTGGAATAAAATCATGTCCCATTTTTCTCTACATGCCACGCCCCAATGTTTATACTTTCTCTTACTCTTTTCACGTATGTACAATTGCAGGTGTTAATTTTCCAGACCAAACTGGATACATTTTTCTCTGCATTAGCAGTTGCTGCATTTTATCTGAAAGATTTTTTTTAAGTAATAATAGAAGCAGTATTTTAATGAAATAAATTCTTCATAAGAAAGAAAGGTAGTGTAACAGCCTAGTTTACAATCATAATTAGTTTCAATTTAATCTGGCTTTCTTGTCAATAATGCAAACAACTCCAAGCCAAATAACTTCGTATATTATAATAAGTAACTATAGAGAGCTCTAAAAATAATTTTCATGACCACTGCTTATCCCATGAACCGAGACAACACTTACCTGTGTCTGAAGGACGTAAAGAGTCCGAGTCACAGGTGAAAAAGGTCTGATGGTCCTGAGCTGACAAGTTCATGTCATAGTATGTAAGTGGCTCTTTACCAGTCACCCAAGTGAGTCTTTACCAAAACATAAGAAAATATGTAAATCAAACATGAGAAAGCATTGATTTGCTATAACAGATCCTATTTAAAATTCAAACAAATATTGTTAAAAATTCTATTTCAGGATGTTTTAAAAGCTTATTTTAATGAATAAAACAAAAGAAGTAACCTACACAAACTACTCAGAGTATAATAAAACATAAAAAAACGAAAAGGGAAAGGCTAGATTATTCAACACACATTGTTTCAAAATTGGATTTGAAGGGATAAGACAATTAGTTTCAGATATATACCTTTTTAAGTATACTTCAGTAAGTTTTCAGTGAGTTAGAATGATTAAAAGTAAAAGTACAAAGAAAGAAGAAAACACAGATGGATTTTTACTAGATATCAAGATGGTAAAGGGCTTTCAAAGCATAAAAGCAAAGAGGAACTTTTCTCAGATATTACTAAATTAGAAATGTAAACTTTCATATTCCCCTGAGACTCACAGTAGCACATTAACAGATTGGCTAATAAATAAATTTTAAAATATGCAATCTCATTAGTCATTAACAAATACCAAATTAAAATAAATAATTTTTACTTTCACCTATTAAATTGGCGAATATGTATATATTGTAGGTGGAATATGGACTCACACATACTGCTGGCATCATGTAAATTTAATTTATATTTCTGGTTCCAGAAATCAATTAGGTAATATCTATCAATAGTCTTAAAAATATTTACACCTACCTAAGGGATAGGTATATAGTATATTATACCACCCTCTCTACTTTTATTTTTCAAATTTTCCATAATCAAAAAAAAATTAAAGGGAAGGAAAAAAAACTGTTTACACCCCTTGATTCAGTAATCACAGTGCTACAAAGCAAACTTAAGGAGATAATCATATATGTAGTTAAATATTTATATAGAGAGATATCCCTCTAGTGTAAATGTTAACAGTGAAATATAATCTATGACCCAGATAGGCAATAAGTAGAGAAGGTATGGTAAATACAAGCACTAAAAATCATGTTTTTAAGAAATTCTGTGGGAAATTCACACATTGTGATGTTTAAGTTTTGATTCTATACATGCATATAGAAGAGAAACTGGATGGAAATACTAATAGCAATTATTACTCAGTAGTACAAAGAGGTGGTCTTTACTTTCTTTTTCATACATCTATTTTCTTCCCATTTTCTACAATGAATATACATACATTTTATAATCTGAAGAAAAGGCATTTTAAAAGCACATTGTATTATTTATATAAGTAGTAAAGATGTTAAGTTATTTAGTAGTATGCATTGCCTTGTTATGTAATGTTTTTAACTATTCTGTAAGAAATTATCATAAAGAGAAAGAAAAAGGAAAAGAAAATCCTTATTCACTTAACAGTTTTGCTATACATTCAAAAACCATAAAAAATTATTAACACTCTACATTATTCCCAAAATGAGTTAAAGCAGTGAAAAATATAATGTACAATATTCTATGTAATAAAAGCTTAATATGTTAAGTGTCCAGTTGTCTGGTCAGCTGTTCAACCAATCAAAGTGTAACATGCTAATGATATGCTAAGGCTGCTCAACTGCTCACTATGATGTGCACTGACCACCAGGGGTAGACGCTCTGACCAATAGGTTAGCGTGCTGCTGGGGTCCGGCTGATTGGGACTGAGAAGACACGCCCTGGAACCCTCTCTCAGTCCCTCCCTGGCTGGTCAACCTTCCACATCCCTCCCCAGCCTCGATGGGGTCCCTCAACCTCTTGTAACCCAAGACCCCTAGAGGGATGTCTGAGAGCCGGTTTTAGCCTGATTCGCAGGCCAGGCCAAGGGACTCCACTGATGCATGAATTCGTGTACCGAGCCTCTAGTCAATAACATAGAACAGAAAGCAAATTAAAAAGACTCAGTAAAGTAAAAACTAGGATTGGGCCATAAAATGGAGTCTGGAATGAGGCTAACATGAAATGTATACACTTGCTAAGGGCTAGCTACAATATGACCACACAATTATTGTCATTGCAATTTAGACTTTTACATTAAGATAAACTAATCATTCAAAGAAGCATACATGTTCCTGATACTAAGGTAAAAAATTTATCTTTAAAACCTTCAAGAAATAGACACTATAATAAAAGCATAATATGCTAATTAGACTAGACATCTGAATGACTTTCCGAACATAATTCCGGACATCCTTCCAGACAAAGCCACAGCGGTGAAAGCCAAGGCAGAGGCAGTTAGGGATGATGAAGCAGGCAGGCAAGCAGTTAGGGGCAATCAGGCAGGCAGGCAGAGTGGTTAGGGGTGATCAGGCAGGCAGGTGAGTGGTTAGGAGCCAGTGGACCTGGGTTGCTAGAGGGATATTTGACAGCCAGTTTAGACCAGCAGTTGGGACATCCCCTGAGGGGTCCCGAATTGCGAGAGGGTGCAGGTTAGGCTAAGGGACCTCCACTCCCATACACAAATTTTGTGCACCAGGCCTCTAGTAAAACATAACAAAGAATAGCCTAAAAACTTTTTAATAAACACAGTGAGAAGTTCAAGACCTGTCTTTTGCAGAACCCCTTATAGGCTAGTGGCATCTCTCATAAAAGCCTAGTTTTCACTTCCCAGGACTGACTGTCCTGCACTATCAAGTCCTTAAGCACAGGGATTATTATGTAATCATTTAGTATCCCCATCATTTTACACAGTGCCCATACATAACAGACCCATAATGCTTCTTGTTCAATGAATTAAATAACATGCCCAATCTACTTCCAGGTAAAACAAGCCCTTCCCAAAATAAAAGTAAAGTCTCTTTGGTCATAAGTTTCAAAAGATGTTTTCTCATTTAGTGTATAAACCAGGAGAGAAATGGAAACAGTAGAGCACATAGAAAATGGCAATATAAAACACAATATAGAAGTACAATACCCTCTACTATGGCACAAATAAAGTTTATATTCACATTCAAATTGGTATTTTCTAGTGAATGCTCAAATAAATCTTGAAATCAAGCACATATGCATAGGAATATGCTGACATTAGTAATTTTTTCTTAATCTCATAAATTCTTTGAAAAGGCTTTCTGCCATAAACCGGAAGTCAAATGTATACTTATTATGCATTGTGAACACTATTATAATAAGTACTATCAAGATGCTGCCAACTAAACTGCTAATCATTTTATCTTATATATCAGTATCTCCAACTAAAAGAGCTATGATAAAGTTATAAAAACAAGTGTGTCCATAATACTTTTACTCTAAAACCAATGCTATAATTATACTGAAAGCAAAATGTATTACCTCCTATATTCTGCTCCTCTGAAAAGGTTTAAAGGGTTTCTCCATACTTTGCATTCTAAAAAATAAAGGAGAAAAGGGAGGAAGTAAGACAATTTAATCAAATGCAATTAAACCTTAATTCACCAACATTTGCAATATAGTCACTGTATGTTATGTACAGTGCTAGCCACTGATAGCACAAAGATAAATAAGGGATGGATCATCCCTACTGTCACGGAGCATTCAGTTAAATCTAGTCATTCCCTTATTTCTGTCTTCACAGCATTTGGTTCATAATTCAATTATAGCTCTTACCATATTATAATGTGATTATCTGTTTGGTTTTAAGTTTCTCCCTTTTAATTTTTATCGATTTGAGAGAGAGAGAGGGAGGGAGGGAGGAGAGAAACACAGAAGTGAGAGAAACATCAATCAGCTGCCTCCAGCATTCCCCCTTCTGGGGATGGAGCCAGCCACCCAAGCATGTGCCTTGACCACGAACTGAACTAGGAATCGAACTGCAGACCTCTTGGTACACAGAGAAGATGCTCAGCCAACTGAGCCACACTGGCCAGGGCTCTTTTATTTTTGTAATTGATTTTTGTTTGAGAAAGAGGAAGGAAGAAAGAGAGAGAAACATTAACTTGCTATTCAACTTATTTATGCATTTATTGGTTGACTCTGTATGTGCCCTGACTGTGGAGATTGAACTCACAACCTTGATGTATGAGGATGACATTCTAACCAAATGAGCTTACCCAGCCATTATTTGCCTTTTTAACTGTGTTGACTTGAACTCAACCCTGAGAGTGAGGGCTTAAATTTTGTGCCCAGGCACCTGACTTACTTCACCCTAGTGCCAGGTACTGCAAAATTGAACTGATGTTACAAAATCAATGGTGGGTAAAACTGCTAGTACTTTAGCTCGAGTCAAGCAACACCAAGTCATACTGGTCGTCACTGGATTCGTTGCCCCGAGCCCAGTAAAACAAGGCAATACCAAGTATGAGGATTGTCCACTGGCCTAATCTCCTTCCTGCTAATGGGACTGTGGATATGATAGCAGGAGCCAGAGTAGCTGTCTTACACCACAAAGCAAATCTGCATTTGGAGATAGCAGGCTAACAAATAGGAGTCTGTGCCTCTGATGATCCTCTCTCTCTAGATCGATATTTACATGGGTAGACAAACTTCTCTGTTGTTTCTATCTCCCACAGCCAAACACAATCATAACGACACAGCTCTGAAGACTAACTACATAGCTCTGAAAACATTAGATAAGTAATCACCTGACACATTCTGTCTGCCGGTTTCACCTTCTCTGCTGCTGGAAAGAGAAGCTGGGTCTGACATGCTTCTTTCTGTTCCTCCCATCAATGGTCGCAAATGGTTTACAGATACTTGCTCAATAAAAGATGTGCCATGTTTATGGAAGTACCACCATTCAAATATCTATGAAAAACAGAAAACATCTTTCACTTAATACAGAACTAATGAGCAGATATGAGCTCAAATTAAAACATTATCTCAACATGTTCCTTTAATTCAGCATTTTATTTATTTTTAAAATATATTTTATTGATTTTTTTACAGAGAGGAAGAGAGGGATAGAGAGAGAGAAACATCAATGAGAGAGAATCATTGATCAGCTGCCTCCCACACACCCCCCATTGGGGATGTGCCCACAACTAAGGTCCACCTTCCCTTAAAAAGTCAACTGATAGACTATTCTCTACCATGTAGCAGACAAATGTATTACTTTACTTAAAGAATAAACAAACATCCACACTACTTAAGGACTACAATCTCTTTAAAAACTATTTTGCTATGATTTCTGAGACAGAGAGAGAGAGAGAGAGAGAGAGAGAGAGAGAGAGAGAGAGAGAGAGAGAGCGCGCGCGCAAGGGAGCGTGCGCGCACGCGAGTGAGCAAGCAAGCGGAGAGGTATCAGTTCTAAAACTTTTAGGAATGTTATTTTTTGCTTCAGTAACCAACAGAACAAACATGTTACAAAGATGCCAAAAGTATGATGTCATTTTTGTACACTGCACCCCAATTACTCCACTGACCAAATGTTATAACATGTGTAGGACAGAGCTAGAAAATCAAGGCGCAGAATTTTTTCTATCATGCCACTAACGTCTCATGCTCAGTCTAGAATGGCCTCTTTTCCTGCTTTCTTTTACTGAGTTGGCAGGCAGTTCATCACCTCCAAATATAGCCCCAGATTGGCTTCTTTTACTAAGTAATGGGGTGAAACTTCTTTACCACAACCAGAAGAAATCACAAAGCAGAAGTTATTCATGTGACGGAAAAGACAAGATTTACATTAGGTCAGTCAGGGACATTAATCATAAAGGCCAATGATAAACTGTCCTTCACTATATGAAGCGTTGGCAGTTTTTTAATTAGTTAATATGTTAGTGATTTTTATTTACGTTTTGAATCAACTTTTATCACAAACGAGCAATAATAATTGGTAGTACTTACCAAGCATTGTGCCAAGTTCTTTACATGCATTATGTCATTCAATTCTCACAACTGATTTCAGAAAGAACATCTATTCCAGCTTTAAATAACTAGCTCTGGTTCATAACATCCATACTTTGTAGAGCTAGGATTTTTACTCAGGTTTACATGACTTTAGAGGTTTTAACCGTTATACAGACTACCTCTGAAACATACCACAGTGTGTGTGTGTGTGTGTGTGTGTGTGTGTGTGTGTGTGTGTGGGTGTGTGTGTGTGGTAAGTACAGGTGGTGAAAGATATTATAAACATAACCTTTGCCAATGAAAACTCATTAATTTTGCAAAAGTGATGACAAAATTTACCCTTTAAAATGTTTCCTAATTTTAAAACTTTGCTTTAGCCCTAGCCAGTTTGGCTCAGTGGATCGAGCGTCAGTCTGCAGACTGAAGGGTCCCTGGTTCAGTTCCAGTGAAGGGCACGTACCTCAGTTGCAAGCTCAATCCCCAATCCTTGTTGGACATGCAGGAGGCAACTAATCGTTGTCTCTCTCTCACACTCACGTTTCTGTCTCTCCACTTTCCTTCCACTGTCTCTAAAAATCAATGAGTAATATCTTCAGGTAAGGAGTAACAAAACAAAACTTTGGTTTAAAAAGATAGTATGCATCCCTGGCTGGGTAGCTCAATTGTTTGGAACAGTGGTCGGCAAACTGCGGCTTGTGAGCCGCGGTTTGCTGCTGTTGACTAATGAGTTTGCCAACCACTGGGTTAGAGCATATGTCAACTTGCAGGTTCAATCCCTAGTCAGGGCACATGTAAGAATCAAACAATGAATGCATAAATAAGTGTAGCAACAAATGGATGCTTCTTTCTCTTTTCTTCTAAAATTCAATAATTTAAAAGATAATATATAACATAAATATAAGTCAGTAGATTAAGACCCAGAATTTATGTGATTTGCCCAGGTATCAGCCAGTAAGTGGCAAAATCAAGACTTAAAACTAGTTTCTAGTTCTAAAACTAATGCTTTTTCTATTACAACAGCTGTTTAAAGATCATTTATTTTCTTTGACTCGTATTGACTAAATATGCTTAATTATGAATGAGCTTTATAAATCAATACAACTTGAGGCTTATATTAACTCATAGTTTTCATCCTGGATTCTTCAATAAATTTTTTTAAGAGAAAAATCTCTTTCTTGTCTGGCACTTCACTTTAACAAAATGGTCAAGTGTTAGCCCTAATAAAAAAGACAAAACACTCCAATACAAATGCTGTTATTTCTATTATAGCTGGAGAGCACCACCTACAGATGAGAAAAAAGTGCAGAAAAATTCCTTGGCCATGCACACCATAATACTTCCTAAGATTTTTATGTGTAGCAGTATTTTTCCAAAGTTCCTTCCATCACTAGGGATGTTAACAAAAATCATAAACTTTTAAATTTTTGAATTAAAAATGCAAGCTTGCCGAAACCGGTTTGGCTCAATGGATAGAGCGTCGGCCTGCGGACTGAAAGGTCCCGGGTTCGATTCCGGTCAAGGGCATGTACGTTGGTTGCGGGTGCATCCCCTGTAGGGGATGTGCAAGAGACAGCTGATCGATGATTCTCTCTCACCGATGTTTCTAACTCTCTATCCCTCTCTCTTCCTCTCTGTAAAAAATAATTTTTTTTTTTTAAATGCAAGCTGGATGAAGTAAGACAAGAAAAAGCTGAATTAAAGTTAAATTGGCATCTTTATTGTAGGACTTCTCAGAATAACCCAAATTATTAAACGTTCACTCTGTATGAACTACCAGTCTGTTACTAACTTTTACACACCTTACCTCACTTAGCCATCATAATCCTATGAAGTAGATACTGTTATTACCTCCCAGTTTACACCTCAGAAAACCGAGAGATAGGAAAGCTAATTAATGTGCCCTAAGTCACACCACTAAAGGGTTAACCAACTCAAATCCCACTTTTAAACACTCCAAAGATAACTGGCAGCCTATAAGCGGAATTGAAGACACAGATAAATTCTTAGTTTGTCCAATGTTGCCAACATTAACGTATTGTTAAGATTTTATATAAAAACTTGCTTGGATATGCAAAAGATAATAACTCACAATGTTAATATTAAATATTCCTTCAAAATAAAAATAAATAAAAATAAATAAATAAAATAAAAAACTTGTGTATCCATGCCCAAAACTGTTTGGCTCAGTGGATAGAGCATCAGACTGCAGACTGAAGGGTCCCAGGTTTGATTCTGGTCAAGGGCATGAACCTTGGTTGCAGGCACATACCCAGTAGGGGGTGTGCAGAAGGCAGCTCATGAATATTTCTCTCATCGATGTTTCTAACTCTTTCCTCTCCCTTCCTCTCTGTAAACAATCAATAAAATATTTTTTTAAAAACAAACTTGTGTATCCAGGTTCTCTTGGGATCATTTGAAAAACTGAAAAATCTGGTAATAATGGCCCACAAGTCTACATGGCAACAATCAGCTTTAGCCCTTTCTAGAAGCAGCATGCATTGTCCAGTTTACCCAGTCCTCAAAGTAAGAATTCAGTTCTTACACTGTGTCCACTTCACTCATTTTGTTATCAAGATGGGCCCTGCAAGCATTTAAATATAACTCACCTCTCAAGCCCCTACAATGTAAGCCTTTTATACACAACTGCATCCTGTCAATCTCTAACAGTGGAGAGGAGATGCAGTGGCTTTTTCAAAATGCTGACCACATTTTGAGGATGCTGACCTACAAGTATTTATAATTACTGTAACTATATGGTAAAGAGTTGTGATCTTTAGATAAATACAAAAGCATGAAGGAAATGGAAACTACTTACAAATATTAGTCCTGATATCAAAGAACATGTCCCTGTAAGTGCCACATAGAATTTGGACGTCAGTGAATTTAAAAATACTGTCACTGCCAAAAGGAGAAAAGAAAAAAAAGTCAAAGTTTAAAAAAAAAAAAAAAAATGCAAATTCAAAGTACTCAAGTTACAAATATGCAGGTGTCTTTACAAGGGGGGGAACATAAGTGGGTTAATATCTAGTGTGACATTCATTTGAGAAAGTTGTAATTTCTTAAAAAGCTACTTCAACGTCCCATTGTATGATGCCCTCAAAAAAAACTCGCCTTTCCTTGGCCAGGTAGCTCCAATGGTTAGAGCAGGGAAAATAGCCCCTCCCTGCACCCGACTCGCTGAAAGTTTGGACCAAATAACTGCCTCCTAAACGCTTCGGATTTTAGAAACAAAAATGCATAACACTGAGCTCGTCTCATCTGAATGGTGTACCTCGTTAACACGTAGAAAAATGATACCCTCAGTGGGAAAAAAAACAATCAAACACATTTCACTGAGTGTTAATAACCACCAGTAAGCACTCCCTTAACCTGTCACAGAGATCGCCAAAAGTGCTCCATCCACCAGGGCAGGAAGACCGTTATTTAGCTTGTTTTTGTGTTCGTTATATCTGTATTTACATCATAACTAGGTTCTAAAAAAAAAAACAAAAAAAAATCTAAACTATTTCAGAGCATTCTCTCAGTATTCCGTGCCATCTCATGGGACAGAAAGGGGGGGCGGGGAGAATTGATGCACCAGTCAGGACCTAACGGGGATGCCCCATCCGTCCCCGGGCCGCGGGGCGGGGCTGGGAGGCGATGCGATGCGACGGGCGCGGCCGGCGGCCCGGGCTCCGCTCCGGGCAGGACCCGCGGCCCCTCCGCCCGGCCACGTGGCGAGCTCCCCGCCGCCGCGGGCGGCTCTGCCCCGGCACGGCCCGCACCGCTCTGGGTTACAAAGACAGAAAAATAAAAGTAAAACTCTCACGGGAGCTCTGTCCTGACAGAACCGGTGTGAACCAGGACGGCGGCCGGCCGGCACCCCGGGGCGCTCACACGTGCCAACAGCGAAGCGCTCGTCTTTGTGGGCTGAGCGGCGGGCGGGCGGGCGGCTCCGAGGCCTCGCTTCCCCGGGACCCCGCCAATGGCGGGGGGCTGTGTGCCCACACCCCGCCTCCGGGCCGCAGGGGCCCCGGTCTGTCCCGCCCGCGGCCGCTCCTCCCCGCAGCCTCCAGGGGCCGGGACCTCTGCCCTTTGCCCTTTGCCCCCGCCCCGTCCCTCCCCACCCACCCCGCTCCCGCTATGCGCCCCCGGGAAGCCCGGGCCTCACCCGCGGCCACGTTCTCACACAGCCGCAGCGGGACCCTCAGGGCGTACAGCAGCCCCAGCCCCACCACGAACCACAGCGAGGCCCACGTCCCCACCAGCCCGGCCCGCAGCCGCTCCCTCCAGCCCGGCGGCGGGCTCGGCCCGGGGGCGGACGGCTGCGGAGAGGCCGCGGCCGCGGCGGCAGCACCGGGCGCGTCGCCGTCCGCCATCTTGGCGCTGCGCGGGCGCCGGCGCGGGGAGGGGAGCCGGGCAGGAAGCCGGCGCCGGGAATCCTGGGATAGTGGCGGGCCTGGCCCGGGCCTCCGGGGAGGCTGGGCGCCTCGGGGACCGGGGGCCGGGGTTTGGAAGGTGAAGGAGCGTCCCTGGGCACGGGGGCGGCTACCTGTGCCTCCCGAGGGCGGCCGGGGCGGCGAGCGGCACCTCCTCTGGAGAAACTGCACTGAGGTGGCCCCGGAGCGAAGTGTGATTTCGCTTCCCTACGAGTGAGGGGCGCCGCCCTTCACCCCCGTTTCCTGGGCTTTGCAGAGCTACGGGCCGAACAGGGACCGGGCGGCACTCGGCCCTTTGGACTCGGCTGCCATGGCAACCCCTGGTCCAGGGAAAACCTGGAGGAATAGCGAGTGCCGTTGGATCGGAGGGAGCCCGGGCGCCTAGAACAGTCGAAACACGCTCCCCGCGCCCCTGAGATGAATGGGGAAGTGAACGGAACCCGGTGAGGACGGGATTCGACTTAAAAGTCATCTCAGGCCCGGGCAGCTTCCGGGCGCGGCCGCTCCGTGGCCGCCTAGGCGCCCTCGCGGCCGGCGCTTCCGGGCGGGCGCTTCCGGCGGCCCCCGCGGCGCTGCCGTCACCCCGCTGCCTTCCCGGCATGCCCCGCGCCCCGCCGGGCTGGGCCAGAGCAGCCCAAGATGGCCGACTTCGAGGATCGGGTGTCGGATGAGGAGAAGGTAAGGGGCGCGCCTCTCTCTCTCGCCTCCGCCCGCGCCAGGGGTCGGGGGCCCGGCCCGGCCGCCGCGGGAAGCCCGAGAAGGTCCCCCCGGGAGACAGAAGCCGCCCAGTTCCCGCCGGCGTCCGCCTGCCGCGGTTCGTTCGGGACGCTTTCCTCCGGAGGGTCGCGCCCCTGGCGCCCCGGGGGCCCCCAGTTCCCCATTTCTCAAACTCTTCTCCTCCCCGGCCCCGGGCACAGCCCGCTGGCCTCTTCCTGCGAGAAAAGAGACTTTTCCCTTCATGGGATCGTGGCTGTGAGCCCTTCTCTCTGCCATGAAGAGAGGGGGCGACGGTGATGCCGCGACCGAGGAGGAAGCAGCGGTCGCCCCGCCTGGAGCTGCTGGGGCGCTCACCCCCGTCCCCCCACACCCACACCCCCATCTTGAACGACGATTGAGGCCAGTGGAGGGCGAGGCACTTCCTGGTCTGGGTGGCCTCTCCCCTTCCCTCCCGCCCCTCCTTCCCGGGAAGGGATTTTGCTGTCCCGGCTCCTCCACCGGGAGGTCCCCCCGGCCTGTGAGCCGGGCTGCCGGCCGCGCTGAAGGGGGAGCCCAGGACCCTGGGTGCAGCGTGAGCCCCGCTCTTCCCGGCGGACCCTCCCTGGATTGCCTGTGCCTACCCCCCTGTGCGCCTTCCATCCCCTTAACGAGAATAATTGAAAAGTGTTTTGTTGTGTGTGTTTTTTTTTTAGTTTCTTGTTAACCGATTAAGATGCGCCAAGAGCGTGTTGTTTTGTTTTGTTTTGTTTTGTTTTGTTTTGTTTTGTTTTGTTTTGTTTAACCTCCAGAAAGGTTTCACTAGGATAGACGCCTTCGAGTCTGGGCGAAAGCACCGAGCCTCCTCGGACGCCCCGCCGCGATGCCTGATGATGGCTTATAGCTTCTCCGTGTGTAATCTGTACTTCTTCCTTCAAAAGGGTCCTAAGTACAAGGCTGTGTTAGGTGGAATAACGTTCTTTCTTTTCTTTTTCTCTGACAGCTGCGCATCTTAACAGCCTTCTGTGGGGCTTTTCAGTAACTAGGAGATTTTAGGGCCTGCGGAGAGTAGAATTATTTCATTGGGTGGCCAGCTTTATGTCTTTTTAACAACTTTCTTTATATGTGTGTGTATATATGTTTTTATTTCAGAGAGGAAAGGAGAGGGAGAGAGAGATAGGAACATCAATGATGAGAGAAAAGTCATGGATGGGCTGCCGCCTTGCACGTCCCTGCAAGCCCCCTCAGGCTGAGGTCTCTGTCCACTGAGCCAAACCGGCTAGGGCAGGTGACTCACTTGAGGACAAGAATCATGTCTTTTGTTTCCTATAGTGGCTTACAAAATGTGCGTGCTTGAGTGCTTTGTAAGTGTATTTCAGCTCTTTCTCTTTTATTTTTTTCCCCAATAACAAAGATTGGGGTGATAGAGGGGACTGTGTATGCCCCAGGAGTCCTCTGAACAGAATAATTTGATACAGTATACCTACATATAACATGCCATTTTGAAATACTGAGGAATGTGCTAAACACTCACAGGCCATTGAACAGGACTTAAGCATTAAATTTTCTCTTTTTTGGAAATTCCCATAAGTTTGGGGAAGGGAGGAAGCATTTTATATGAACTTGCGCTGCAGAGAAAACTATAATATGTGCTTTTTCTAAGGCAAACAGTTATGATTCAGATGAAATTAAATTACTGTGAAAATCATAGGATAGCAAAATATTTTTTAGTCCGACTAATGGGTCACTTATTTTAAGCAAAAATATTGTTACAAAAAAATATCACTAAGTATTTAACAATAAACTTTGAAGTTTATTCTGCCCAAACAATTCTATATTTACCAGTGCTGTCAGGTTTTTGTCTTTGACACTGAGTTAGAATGCCTTTTTGTATTTCGAAGTGCAAATTAAAATATCTTTGAATATTGTCAGTGTTTAATAACATTCATAGTATTGATTTTATAATAATAGATCTGACCTCATCTCTCAGCACACCTGATTTGTTGCTTAATTTTAATAATGACATTGTAAAGAAATCAAAATTAATAAGGTAAATCTGCCCCCCAAAAAAATATGGATTTCACGTTTAGTTAACAGTTTTAAATTAACCACATTGTCTTCATCAGCGTGGATAATTAAGAATAACTGCTATAGTAAGATGTCTCAATAAATCCATATGATTTGAGATTTCTGATATTTTGTTAGATTCTTATTCACAAATGAGATGAAACTGATAGTATTTCTCTGTTGTGGATCTGGAAGTAAGAAGGGAGGGCTTTGGCTTGTAAGATTTCTTCAATTCTCTTCAGCTTCATAACCTACTTGCCCCCTTTTCCGGGCTTTTGCGTCCTTTAAACTGAATTCAGGAATTAAGAAATATTTTTCTAACAAGATTTGTTGACATGAATATTTTAGCATTAAGAAACGTAAGTAACTTTTTTAAAAATATATTTTATTGATTTTTTTTTTTTTTTTAAGAAAAGGAAGGGAGAAGGGAAAGAGAGTCAAAAACATCAATGAGAGAGAAACATCAATCAGCTGCCTCCTGCCCACCCCACACTGGGGATGTGCCCGAAACCAAAGTACATGACCTTGACCGGAATCGAACCCGGGACCCTTGAGTCTGCAGGTCAACTCTCTATCCCCTAAGCCAAACCGGTTAGGGCAACATAATTAACTCTCAAATGAGATTCTTATCCTATAAAATTTCACAACCAAGGCACTATTACAAACATTTTTTTTTTAAATTTTAGCCTTAATTTATATTGATTCTTCCTTGAAGGAACTCTAAAGTTTCCATTTTTTCTGTTCTTAACGGAGACCTCAACTGCATTTGATTTGGGGGCTTTTTTTTTTTTTTTTTTTTAGGGATATATGTCATAATGCCCGTATAGCTTTTTTATTTTTGTTACATTATCTGAAAGCAGTGAACATAGAGGTGAATTTGATGATGATGGTCTCTGATTTCCTTGCAAATATTTCTATAAAAGCGAGTAAGATCAACCATTTTCATAACTAACTTCTGACGTTTTTATCGCTTTATAAAGAGGAAGTTGGGTTTTTTAACTTCTGCATTGTTACCTGAAATGGTCATGATGAGCTGCCTAAATAAAACAGGAAGTAGAAAGTGTAATAACTTGTCGAAATAAACGCTGGTAGTCTTATTCTCCGGTACTGTTTCTGAGAATGAGCTCTCCACTTCCAGTTACTAAGACCCTTCCGTTACTGGGTTCCAAGTGCTTAGCAAGACCAAATGACACTATACGCTAGTTAGGAAACCTGAAAAGTGAGATGAGCAGTTTGTTTGGGTTCTTGGCATGTCTGTTTCCTTTATTTCATGATTCGTCATTTTTCTTATCCTCGAGATTTTAATGTCACATAATAAAACAAAATAGGAAGTTTAGAACTGGATCCATGGGCTTTCTCTTATCTCCTCCCAGTTCAAAACACTTCCATCTCTTAACAGCCAGCATTCTCTTAGATTGGCGGTTGGGCTCAATACATGCAGGCCTCAGCACAGTCTTTGTAGTTTTAGCCTTTTTGTAGAAAACCGGCTCAGTCTGCCCATCATAGCCACTCTGCTTCCTGTCCCAACGCCGCTGTCCCTGCGCATTCGGAGGGTCACTGCCCTTCTCATCGCTCTGTTACTTTGTGGTGTTGGCGCTTGCCGCACTTCTTACAGAAAGCCCCGTGGGTTTTAAGAACATCCACCATGTTTGCAAGAGCGGTAAGCAGAAAGCTGATTCAGCATCTTAAAAAACATTAATGCAGAGAGAATTTTAAGGCTGAAAAACAGTGCAACGGGCATATTTTTCCCCTTCAGCCTAACTAGTGGAATATTTGTGTACAACCACAAAAATGCCATAACTGAAAAGTGGATCTGTATGCTTCAAGTTTAGACAATGATCCCACTTTTTGACAAACAAGTTTATCAAAATTATTTAGGAGAGATGTGGAAAACGTTGTATATGAATGCCAAAAGGCCCTGAAAACTACTTACACTTTTCAACTGGATTTTCTTCATTTTGATTACCTCCTTGGATGAGTCCTTATCCTTATGAATAAGCCCTGAAGCTTATTTGCCATGGTCTTTCTGACAAGTCAGCAATCAGTATTAACACTGCCGTTCTTTTATCTTCCCTCTTTCCAGCTAGCTCTGCTGAGTAGTATTCATATAACCTGTTAGAAAATCCTTTGGCAGGAGCATAAATTTTCAGCAAGTACGAAATCAGATACCCAATCTTTGGTGAAGTATAGGTTTATTATAATTTACTCTAGAACATCTAGCTTTTTATTAGGACCAGCCTTAATGCTAAGCAAAGTAGTGTAATAGGTCAGAAAATTCAAACCCCGGGTTTGTGTGTTTCAGAAGCCATGCTTTTTTCACTATACTTTATTCCATGTAACAGTGATTGAAAAGAAAAACAGAATAGAGGCGTTCATTTACTGAATTATAAATGAGATATTGTGATGCAGTGGGAAAGAATGATTCTGAGTGTCAGGAGATTTGGCCTCTCTCTCCCTGATATACTTTTAGCCACCGGTGTGATTTTGGAAGAAATCACTAACCTCTATAGGCCTGTTTTCCTATAAAATTGGGAGATAAGAGGAATTGGATTTGTCATAAAAGGATTTAATGAACTTTTTCAAACTCTGATTTTTTAAAAAATGTTTTAAAAATGAAATATTAAAATGTTGGAAGAGTTTCTCATTATCTGCATTTGCACATTTGCCCTAGTAACAAAGCCGAATTCCTTGGTAACTGAAACCATGTTTTTATGCAGTGCCTCGCTCGCATAGGACCAGGTAGATAGTGTAGGCACAACCTATTGGCCTGAAAAAGATCAATCAGTTACACTTCATTCATTCTAATATTTCCCCAACTCATGCTCCTTTTTCTCTCTCTCTTCCCTCCACCCCCAACTGTTTCTTATGATCTCTAGACACTTCTTACGTCCAGGTTATGTCCACACTCTGGGTGCCTCTCGGTATTCATCGTTCTTGAGAATATGCTGCGGTAGTCGTGCCCTTCCTTGTCACTGCTGGGAACATTTGACACCTTCCACGGCCCAGGAGCGTTTTTCCTAGTAACTCCTCTAAAGCTGCAAAGCATTGTGCATTCCAAAAAGACTGTGTGTGCTGGGACCGGTTTGGCTCATGGATAGAGCGTTGGCCTGCGGACTGAAAGGTCCCGGGTTCAATTCCGGGCAAGGGCATGTACCTTGGTTTCCGGCACATCCCCAGTAGGGGGTGTGCAAGAGGCAGCTGATCGATGATTCTCTCTCATCGATGTTTCTAACTATCCCTCTCTCTTCCTCTCTGTGAAAAATCAATAAAATATATTAAAAAGTATATTTGTTTAAAAAAAATAAAACAAAATGACTGTGTGTGTATATTTCTAGACTTGAAAAACCCCAAATAAAAGTATTTCCTTCATCTGCTATAAATCCCCTCCGTTAGAACCCGAGGATCAGATACCATTTGCTCTTTCCTCTCTCCAGACCACAAATTTAAGAGTATAGGTTCTCTCATCTTCTTTAAATAACTAAATATCCTTATATGGATCATCTTCTGAAAATGGGCCTGCACAGGGGAAAGTAATCGTGATACTGAAGACAATGTGACTGCTTTGGGATTTCTGAACTAGGTGATAATTTTAATATGCACTTACTGTTATTTTTCCTTCTGCCTGCAACAGAACCTCCGTCAGCCTCAGCATTTCTGTTCATCGCATTATTCTCTTTTAATCACACAAGCTCAGAACATTGGCATTATCTTTTCACTTAGTCTTTCCTCTCGTGTTCAATTAGTATTCCAATCTCATTCGTTCTCCCTTTTATTAGATTCTGTTTCCTCATTTAAAATAAAGGAACAGAACGAGTTATAAAAAAAAAAAAAAAAAAAAAAAAAAAAAAAGCATTTTAGGTATATAGGAACTATAACCACATGCTTAAAATTAAAATGGTAGGAAAAGGCTTAAGTAAAAAGTCCCCTCCCACCCATTTTCCAGCCACCCAGTTCCCCTGAGAGGCAGCCATTATAACAGTTTCCTTTGTGTCTTGCTTTTCAGTTAACAATATGTCTAACCTGTCCACATTCCTACTACTGTTGTCTTTAATCACATCATGTGTACACTGTATTGTGTGTTCACCACCCAAATCAAGTCTCCTTCCATCATCATTTATTCCCCCACACCCTCCTTCACCTCCCTTCCTCCCCCACCAATTACCACTGTTGTCAGTGTCCATGAGTTTTTCCTCTTTTATGGAAAACTTTTTTTTTAATCAGTAAAGAAGTTGTCATTGTTTATAATTATTGATGAAGATTGTAATAATGGAGAATATAAGGTGACTAGGACCTAAAGGTTTAAACAAGGGATATATTTGCCCAGCCTTTGTGGCTCAGTGATTGAGTGTTCGATTCCAGTCAGGGCATATGCCCGATTTGCAGGCTTGATCCCCAGTGTGGGTTGTACAGGAGGCAGCTGCGAACCTCAGAACACTGGTCCCCAATTGGCACAAACACGTGGATTCAGAGTTCTATACTCCACCACAGAAAAGAGAGAGAACTACATAACCAGACACTCTGAGAAGAGAGACCATGGGGAGACAAAGAAAATGTTATCTACTAATTCCTCTCCTTTTTATCTGTTACTCTTCGTAACTCTCTGTAAATTTTATTTCTCCAGGTACGCATAGCTGCTAAATTCATCACTCATGCACCCCCAGGGGAATTTAATGAAGTATTCAATGGTGAGTAAAAATTGGCATTTAGTTATTTAAGCCCTCGTTAGTAACATATAAGCACTCACTGAGTACTAGTTATCTCTTTTCATCCTTACAACATATTATAGTTACAGCTAAAGAAATCAATATTCAAAGAGGTTAAAATAACATACTCAATGTCACCCAGCTAATAAGTGTCAGAGCATACTGAAATAGTCAAAAATATGGTATTAACACAAATTGGGATACCTATTTTATGTGAGAAAAGATTTAAAGTAGTTTAATATCAGTAAATGTAGAAACAATATTAAGTTGTTTTCATGGTTGTTGCATTATTTACTCCTTATAGTAAATGTTTATATGTTCTCAACCAATAATCTCCGTTGATAAAATTAATGATGTAGAGAAAGAGTAACTAGATTTAAAGTAGTTTTAATATCAGTAAATGTAGAAACAATATTAAGTTGTCTGTCATTATAAATCATCACTTAAATTTCTTCGGTGCTTTCATTCAGGAAGTATAGATTTTCTAGAGTCATTGGGACTAAACTGGCTGCATCTGGGAAGCTTGTTACTCTTCCCAAGATTCTCATTCATTAGATCTGGGGTGAAATCTGTCTTATCAAGTTCTCTCAGGTGATTCGGAGACAAGCCAGTTTAGGGATCACTAAATCCTAAAGGTATCCTAATTACACATTGGTTTGCTTGTTGTGTTTTTGTTGTGTCTTCAGATTTAATATATTCTACTATATTTGCAACCTTTCATATTATTCATTTTTTTTTAATATGTTTTTGTTTAGAAAGAGAAAGGAGAGGGAGAACAGAAAGAGAAAAACATTGAGTGGTTGCCTCCAGTAAGCACCCCAACCAGGAATCAAACCAGAATCTGGGTATGTGCCCTCACCAGGAATGGAATCGGTGATCCTTTGGTACAAGAATTGGTGCTCAACCAACTGAGCCACACCAGCCCAGGCCCTATTAACTGTCTTAATAGCCTATAGGATGAAAAATGTAGACAAGGTATCTTGAACTTCACAATAAAAGCAGTCATCATAATCTCATTAACATCTTAAGGGGACCTTTTAAATAAAATAATAATCTTTGTGCATCTTGGTTCAGTTTAGCAAACATTTATTTTTAAATTCTAGTTTTACATGAGAAGGTTACCTATTTGAGAGGGATTGTGTGATTGATATTCATCTGTATCTGACCCAGAGCCGTACACATCATAGAACAACCAATAATCTCCGTTGATAAAATTGATGTAGAGAAAGAGTAACTAGGAGAACATATAAACATTTACTATAAGGAGTAAATAATGCAACAAAAATGAAGACATTCTGTTACAGACTTGTTTGTAGATTTTCAACACTAACAGCAAAGAGGAACAAATGCAGCCTTTCTAGTCTTCCACATTGACTCGATGTAAATTTCAACAACTGAGCTTTTAGGAAATTCTCCTTTGACTTGACTTTATCTGACTGATGAGCTCAGATAAATTCTTAACAATATTAATGGTCTTCATAATTAGGCGTTCCTTTTATTTTTGAAAACAGAATGAACAATGCAAGAATACCATGAAAACAATTGATAACAAATTGGTGTGACTGAATTGGGCATCCTCCAATGCACCAAGAGGTTGCTGGTTCAATTCCCTAGGTTGTGAGCATGCTCCCCAGTAGGGAGCATGAAGGAGGCAGCTGATCCATGTTTCTCTCTAAAAACAATAAAAACGTATTTTACAAAGGAATTGGCGAGTTCCTTGTGACCTGGGCTGGTTTTTATTGGCCTGCTACACACTGGCCTCTGCCGGTCCTTTCTTTCAGAAGCCCCGAGAGTCAATGGCCTTCAGTTTATAATTAGTGTTCTCTCTCCTAGTTAATTCTTGGTAGTTTTTAGTAACAAAAGAAAAGTGACAAGGCTCTTAATACAGCTTTTTTTAAAAAGATTGTAGGCTCCCAGGTGAGATTATTCAAAGAAAGATAGGTTCAACATTTCACTGCCATTGACTAAATTGTGCCCAGCTTTCTTGGTCTGATGTTACAGATAATCTGATTTTAAAGAATTCTTTAGATACAAAATTAACAGTTGTTACTTTAATCTTCTGTCAACCACGTTTTTCACTTGCTAAGAAATTCTTTGAGAATTTATTGCACCACAAATAATTATATGCAAATCTATGAACATTGGCAGCTATTTGTTTGCGTTATTTAGAAAAAATATATCCAAACCTTTCAAAATCTGATTTTTAAAAAATCAAATTTAGATTCCTGGCCAGGTAGCTCAGTTGGTAAGAGTGTCGTCCCACCAAGGTTCAGGTTCTATCCCTGGTCAGGGCACATACAAAAGCAACCAATGAATGCACAAATAGGTGGGACACAATGTTTCTCTCGCTTTCCCTCTCTCTTAAATCATAATTTTCTTTTTAAGTCTAATTTAGAAATCTGCTAAATTCTCTAAAGTTTGTCCTATTGAACATTGTAATTTTAACAATTTTTTTCTTCCTTAGATGTTCGGCTACTACTTAATAATGACAATCTCCTCAGGGAAGGGGCAGCACAGTAAGTATCTTTAAGAATCTGTTTACAGTGTTATTCTGATATTGCATAAACTATGTTAATAGTAAACTGACACCCTGAAAACTTAGCTCAAAGTACTTCAAAATGAAGCAATTGATTTTAGCAGTTTTAGTTGTTTTATTCTTGGAGAAAACCTGTTCCTCTAAAATATTTACTTTCTTAAAGCTTATTATTTTGCTTATTATATTATTTTACTTATTATTTATTTTTGTGTGAATTTCCCCCTTACAACAGAGTTGAATGTTGGCTCTTGGGTTTTCTTCCATAGTTCTTTTAGCTCCTGTTGAATTTAAAAACAAAAACAAAAAAAACAGTTATAGAAAGATTAGGGTACAGTTGGAGAATGAAAATGTTTCTCAAGTTGCCAAAGAATAGCAGATATTCATAAAGTGATTTTATGGTAAAAATTAACTGTAGAGCCCAGATGGTGTGGCTCAGTGGTTGAGTGTCAACCCATGAACCAGAAGGTTGCTATTCGATTCCCAGTCAGAGCACATGCCGTTGTTGTGGGCTCAATCCCCAGTAGGGGGCATGCAGGAGGCAGCTGATTGATGATTCTCTCGCATCATTACTGTTTCTATCTCTCTCTTCTCTCTGAAATCAATAAAAAATAAATAAAAGAATTTATCATAGAATAATAGCACAGTTATTCTACCCAATCATTGACTTCTTATCACTGTCAGGCTAATCCTTATAAGGAAGCATTTTCATTTTGTCTTTGTTTTTTAAAAAGTTACAGTGGTGGCCCAAGCTGGTTTGGCTTAATGGATAGAGCATTGGCCTGGGGACTGAAGGATCCCAGGTTCGAGTCCGGTCAAGGTTGCATGCCCTGGTTGCAGGCTGGACCCCCAGAAGGGGGCGTGCAGGAAGCATCTGATCAATGAGTTTCTCTCATCATTGATGTTTCTGTCTCTCTCCCTCTCTCTTCCTCTCTGAAATCAATAAAAATATATATTTTTTAAAAAGGTTACAGTGTAGGTTTGCTTGTTGTGTTTTTGTTGTGTCTTCAGATTTAAACACTGTCTAGCTTCAAGGCCCCTGGTTATCTGGCTTTATCACTACCTCCTTTACTCTTCAGTGTAGTTTTATTTCAGTTACTCTATCCAGCTGGCCCAGAGTTCCTTTGTAAAGAGGAAACGTAATTGGATAATGTCTGGGAAAGGGTGAGGTGGGGAGGTGGGATAAGGACTTTGATGCAGAACATCAAATAATTATGAATGCATTTGGTATGGAATATATAATTGGCTTAGATGTTAACTATGGAAAGCTGTTAAGCTGCTGCCTGGGAAACAGTCATCCTCTGCCCTGTCCATATTGCTTTTTGGGACTCATTTTGGGACCAGATTCTACAAACCTAAAATTTGCACACCATCACTATAATCATCATATTGAAAGGTATCCTAATTACACATTGATGTAGGCACACACTGAAGAGACATTCTCATTTCCCTCAGGTGCATAGATTCTGCCATATAAAAAAGCATTAAGAGTTGGCTAATTTCCCTGTGCCCTGTCATTGAAAAAATCTCACCTACATTTTGTCAACACTTGGTTATTCCATTTGAATGCTTCTAATAATGAATTCACTATTTCACAAGGCAAGTTCATCCATTTTCCTGCCTTATTGGTCTTAGTTTTGTCCTTGAGAGCTACCCAGAATAAATCATCTCTGTACTTGGTAAGGGGGGTTGGGAATGGGAGGTCAAGATCCAAGAGTGAATTCATCCTCAGCCTGCCGTCCATTTCCAATTAGGAGTGACAGCAGAATTTGGTGTGTAGTTCAGGTGCTTCAATAGTTTTAATTACACTGACAATAAAGTTTTGTATTTATTAATACTCTGGTCCTTAAAGACTCTAGATTCTTAGAAAACCTCTTGCTAAAAGAGAATGTCTTATGCTCAAATATTTGATTTTCCATACAAATGAAGAGTTCGGTTTTATTTCCAATAATAAGGTACTTTGGTCCCGTGATCTTAGTCCTCATAGGTAGCACTCATAAATGTTGTCCAGTAATTATCATCCTCATCTTTGCCTTCTGTGTAAAATGAAGAAGGCCTAAACAACCTAGGAGTTACCCTCTTTCCTGGATTTCCACCAAATCATTCTGATAATTCCAACACTTCTGCTGTAAGTCGGATTTTGTAGACCATGCTAAAGAGGAGGTTTTTATTCTGAGTGAGAGAGAGGAAATTATTTGTTTTAAACAGAGAATAATATGATGAGACTTATATTTTAGGATAATCACTGGCTGCTCTGCAGGGGTCGGCAAGGATTGAAGTAAAATAAGTGCTTAGAAGACTGAGTGGTTCAGAGATAAATGGTAGTGGTTTGAATTAGAGAAGCAATTTTTAACCAGTGTACCGTAAGAATTTTTAAAACATTCAACATGTGACCATTTATTAGGGGACACTGACTTATTTTCCCTTAGATTGTCAAATTTTAATAACTGACAGCAGTCTACACAACAATAGCTGTTTGGTGTGAATGCCCTGTCTTGAACCATAAATATATAGGTCATATAATGTAGTTGCATCTTATTGGTCACTTTGAATGATAAGGTTGTATCTGGTTAATTCTTGGTACCAGAAATCCTTATATACAAATATAGGCACCTAATTTTTTAAAAGTAACTTTGGAGTAAAAAAGGTAGGTAATTATTAAAGAGAGAGAGTGTAAATCAAAATTATACTTAGAGTGACAGTGGTAGAATTGATGGGAAGGAGTAAGACTCTTAATATGTACTCAAGGTAGAACTACAAGATTTACTGATGGATTGGATGTAAAGCGTGAGAGAAAAAAGAATCAAGGATGACCTTATGATAACAGATTTTAGTGTTGATATTTGTAATCTATAGTCTAGGACATATCCTAGAATGAAGTATTTATTTATTCCCTATTCTTAAGTTTTTTAAAAATAATAATAATAAATACGAACACCTGAGGGAATTTCAGCTTAGTGCACTTTTGAGATGCTGTGGAGAGGGGTTCCTGCAGAAAGCGGGAAGACATTACGGTATCACCAGTTGCCTAGAGATAAAGGGGGAAAGACCAGGGAGTTTCACCTTCTCTTTTACCATTGTGTGAAGTACATGTGTTTATTTATAATTCTTTATTTTTTTCACTTTTGAAAAACAGTGCATTTGCCCAGTATAACATGGATCAGTTCACACCTGTAAAGATAGAAGGATATGAAGATCAGGTAAAAATTATTTCTATTTCATAGGCTCTGCCTGAAAAAAATCCTATAAACCAAAGTAGATATAAAAATGGCTAACTTTGTCAACATTTCCATATAAGTAATAATCAACCTAAAAAATGTAGTCAAAAGGAGATCAGATTCTTAGCCACAACAGCAATGGCAAAAAAATTATATTACTTGGACAATGAAAGAAAGATGTATGGTTTATTAGATATCATCACTGCATGTAACAAAGAATCAACCACAGTGGGTCACCTAAATGGAGATCTTGTTTTTGTTATAGAGGTAATATTTAGGGCTGATATGGCAGCCCTGTGATGTCATCAGAAATCCAGATTGCTTCTAGTTCTATTCTGCCATTCTTAGATATGGTTTTCATTATGCCCTCAAGATAGCTGCTCCATTTCTGGGCAGTGGATCTGTGTTCAAGGGAGGAAAGGGGAGGTAGGTTTGAAGGTGCTATTGGTCATTCCAGAAGCCCCTTCCAATTTGACAGGATGCATTTTATTCCTAGTTGGGAATTGTCATTTTTTTTTAATTGAACACATCACCTTCTTGAAAACATTTGAGACTCTGTTAAGGAAAAAGGAGAAAGTGGATATTAGGTAGGAACTAGCAAGAGTCTGCCACACAGTTCATGTATATTCACACATCTTGATCAAAATTAAATGAAAAACTGAATAGGTCTAAATCATATTTCAGGATAAGAACTATAAATAATATGGAAAGCTTATCAGTGTAAGAAATACCCTCCTATATAATAAAAGGCTAATATGACCAGCCGCTATGACGCGCACTGACCACCAGGGGGCAGATGCTCAATGCAGGAGCTGCCGACTGTTGTCAGTGTGCCAGAAGCCGGGCTCTCGGCTGGCGGGAGCCTCTCCTGCCTCCACGGCAGCATTAAGGATGTCCGACTGACGGCTTAGGCCCGCTCTCCCCCCTAAGCCATCCATCCGACGTCCCCCAGAGGCTCCCAAACTGCCGAGCGGGTGCAGGCCTCGCAGTCCAGGCTGAGGGAACCCCCCTGAGTGCACGAATGTCATGCACCAGGCCTCTAATAAATGATATGGGAATATTTGTTTTTCAAATAGATTTTATATAATTCTTGTGAAAATTATTATTAACCATAAGCAATATTCTGATCATGAACAACAGTGAAAGGAGACTACTAGCAAACATAAAGACAAGCGATGGTTGGAGAAACCTTAAACCTAAGTATCATAAACAGAAGAAAAAGGAAACAGTTCTTAAATGTATAAGATTAATCTAACTTTGACTTTCAGTGCCAACTATATATCTAGATTATTTCTTGGGTTTAAAGTTTACCTGTTGTGTTGTTGTTGTAGTTGTTTTTGAAACAAACAAAAAAAAAATGTAATGGCAAGCCCATCCCTCTGGGTGTATCTTGGTGTTCCATGCCAGAGCAAACTGATCTTGAACCATTGCCTGGCCTCTGCTCCTGGGCTATAGTGGGAAATGGAAAGTGAATCATAACTTGAGTAATAATGAAACATTAGAAAAATTTGTAAAAGAAAGTGGCTTCTGCATAATAAAGTCTTACAAATAAGATTTTAAAAGGAGGAAATATGCACCTCAAATATATAAAGAATAAAGAAAAAAATAAAAGCATAATATGCCAATTAGACTGAACAGCCAAACGACCTTCCCGCGTGAAGCCGGGGCTGCGAGGGCCAAGGCACCGCAGCTGCAAGGGCTGAGCTCCTCGCACGAGTTTCTGCATCGGGCCTCTGGTGATGGTTAAAGTAGTATTCAGATGCCTAAGGATGATGTCAAGAGTTCATGGAATAAATAAGGAACAGACTTGAACCAACTGCACCCAGTAGGGGAATATAAAGCAAACTTGGAAAAGTGTTAGATTGCCTAGTAATAGTGATTAAAGAGGTGCAGATTAAAATTTTAATGTAACATGTTTACCTTTTAGTTACAAAAGTTGCAACCTTAAGAGGAAGCTTTATGAGGGTTAGACTAAAGAATAAAATTACTTGATGGAAATATTGGTAAGGAAGAAATCTGACTAAATGAGAAGTTAACTGTCTTCAACAACTGTCTTTTTTACAAAAGTTACTCATGTTTTTAATTATTCTTTGGAAGGTCTTGATTACAGAACACGGTGACTTGGGTAACAGCAGATTTTTAGATCCCAGAAACAAAATTTCCTTCAAGTTCGATCACTTACGGAAAGAAGCAAGTGACCCCCAGCCAGAGGACATAGATGGAGGTCTGAAGTCGTGGAGAGAATCCTGTGACAGTGCTTTAAAGGCCTATGTGAAAGACCATTATTCCAGTGGCTTCTGTACTGTTAAGTATCTGCCAGTTTCATTATTAGAGTGTTTTGTCGCTTTCATTTACCCATTCTTTTGGCCAGCCAAACATCACTTCTTTCTTCTTATTTACAGTCTCCTGCATTTTATTCCCTGAATAATGTTTGAAAGGAGTATGAATGGAAAATTTTATGTGGAAAATTATTTTCTTAAATCCCATTGCATAAAAATTTTAAATCTAAGTCAATGTATCCTATTTCACATTTTGTCAGAAATTACCTTATTACTCCCACCAAGGAAAAAAAAAAAAGGCTCTAGCTGGTTTTGAGTGTCAACCTGCAAACTAAAGGGGCCCAGGTTAGGATCCCAGATTGCGAGCTTGATCTCCAGTAGTGGGCATGCAGGAGGCAGCTAATCAGTGATTCTCTCTCATCGATCTTTCTCTCTCTCCCTCTCTCCCTTCCTCCCCCTCTCCCTCTTCTTCTCCCTGTCCCTTTCTTCTCTTTCTCTCTGAAATCAATAAAAAAAAAAAAATTTAAGTCATCAAAGGTCTTTAGCTTAAACAGGAATCTTAACTACAAGCTAGACATCTTCCATGTAAATTTCCCAACTTGTTAATGGTACCACCCACCATCTTTCTAGTTACCCAAACATGCAAGTTCTTTCTTCCTTTTGCCTTCAGTTGCAATATATTGCTAGACTTTTGAATGTGCTTCTGCATCCTTCTGTTCATTGATACTACCCTAATTTACTGCCTAGATTAATTCCGTGGCCTCCTGATTAATATTGGTTATTCAGTTCTGGAGGCGATATAACAAAGATATATCAAACCCCTAGTTTCTTACCTGAATGTTTACTCCTCTTTTATTCCCAGTCTCTACTTATGAGAATATCATCTGTCTTATAAGGTCCAGCCTAACTGGCACCTCCAATGAATTCTTTTGAATTTTCAGCTCATCCTCTCTGAGTCTTTATCTCCCCAAAAGATTTAGTGATTTAGCACACTGCTTTTAAACAGTATTTATTGTTTAGATTAAATGTGTTTTCAGAGTCTAACTTTTTTTTTTTTTTTTTTAACAACAGGTTTATGCTAAAACTATAGATGGGCAACAGACCATTATTGCGTGTATTGAAAGCCACCAGTTTCAGCCTAAAAATTTCTGGTAAGAAAGTTCTATTTGTATCTCATTTATATTGGAAAGGAACCAAACCAGATTAATTCAAGTGCCAGGTTAAAAGTCTGAGTTTGCCCTGACAGGGTAGCTCGATTGGTTGAGCGTTATCCCAACATGCCAAGGTTTCTGGTTCAATCCCTGGTTAGGGCACATATAAGAATCAACCGGTGAATGCTTAAGTTAAACAACAAATCGATGTTTCCCTTTCTTTCTCTCTCTCTCTCTCTCTCAAAATAAAATAAAATAAAATAAATAAAGAAAAAATAATAATAAAGAGTCTAAGTTTTACTTGGATTTGGTTAACAATGCTTTGGTTAATTGCATAACTCAGCAGCTCATCCATCTGTTTATGGAAGAGACTCTTATGAACAGAATAGAATGGTTTTTTTACTCCCAATATAAAAAATGAAAGTCAAAATAACTTGGAAAAGGTTTGTGATTAGGCCACTAGTATACAAACATATTTGTTAAACTAGAAATGATTTGTTTCCTTTTTCTTCTTGCCCAAATTGTTTGCCTCAGTGAGAAATCACCTTGTACTTACGCTTATTGCTGGTTCTGTAGTGATATGTGTGTGTGTTTTTTAATAGGAATGGTCGTTGGAGATCAGAATGGAAGTTCACCATCGCGCCACCCACAGCCCAGGTGGTTGGAGTACTTAAGATTCAGGTGAGATTCCCAACATGTTAATGGGCCACATATTAAAGCGTCACATCTTCCACAGAAACGTTCAAGTTGGAATTTGTTCTGTTATGAAAAATAAGAAACAACTATATGTAGATGCCAGGGGAAACCAATGGTAGTGAATAGAAAAAGAAGCTTCCTTCCTGGGGAAGTAAACAGAGCTGTTCCAGCTCCATAAAGGACTGTCATGTGGAGGGAACTGCTTGCTTGTTATTTTCCTCTTTCAAAGATAATCTGAGACCTTCCCAGAAATTACCAAAAATCAGTTCTAGGAAATCGAAAATAAGTAATTATTAAGAAGTTACCATATAGCAGCTACTGTAACTTATGGTCTTTCATATATATTGTCTCATGTAAGTGTTTACACATACGTATATAAAACTTAGCTCTTCAGTTTGAAGAAAGCTACATGAATGGGTTATTGTGTTTTGTTTATCTTACAATAGTGACAAGATTTTAAAATCAAGTAAACAAAACAGGAATTTTTAATAAAGATTGCGTGAGAAAATATAAGGAGTAAGTAAAATGTATTGCATAATGCCTAACACTTGGTAATGACTTAATAAACAATCGCTAAGGTACGGCAGGTTATTGCTCCTTTCTTCTCCTTTTCTGCTTTATCTCTGAAAACATTTCCTTTTATTCAGTTACCTCCTGATAGTGAGGACTAGATAAAGGAATCAGGCATTACCTGGACTATTGTTCTGGCATTATGCCCCCAATTTTAGTTCCCTTCCCTTTATTTTGTTCATAACACAAGTTTAATCTTTCTAACATTCCCTTTCCCTGGGTCCCCATCACTCATAATAGGGAAAGTCTGAATTCTTAACACGGTTTCTAAAGCGGTTTGCTCTCCTCCAGCTTACTTCATAGCAGTGTCTCACAGGGCTACACTCCCCTCCTCTACATCCTGTCTGCACTCAGTTCTCTCTTCCCTCAGCGAAACCAGTTGTGCTCCGTTCTCCTGTACTTTTTATCCCCTTGCTAGATACCCTTCTCTACCTTGTCCACTTAGGTGACAACTCCTGTTTCCAAGACCCTGTGCAAATGCACTTAACAAAAGGAAATTCTCATCCTATTCTGTATGACCAGTTTATAGCCATGTTAAGATGACTGAACCTATCTTGTAAGTTGCCAAGATTTCCTGAGCCTTATGTCATTGATTGATTAGTCTGTCTCTTGTGTATTCCTCTTTTTTTGCTAATTGTTTTAATAATTATAGCACCCACTTTACCTTATATTCTTATAACTGCTTTTGTCTTTTTTGTAGTCTTAACTTACCAATATTTGTTTTTCAATCCTGTCTTTACCCCTCAAACTTTTCCTGCACTTGATCAAATCTGCTTAACTATATTGATGATACTGTATATGGAAAGATGTGTAAGGAATTAGAACCCATTAAAATTCCTTGGTTTTCACAGAGAAAAACTAATATTTAATGATTTTATTTTAAGCGTGGAATCATTTAAGTTCTTTGCATCACAATGCCTAGTGTGTGGTGCCTGAAATGCAGTAAGACATAATAAATGTTTGTTGAACTTAATAATCAGTTTTTCCTGCAAAGGAAAGAGAATTCTTTTTTTTTTTTTTTTTTTTTTTTTTTTTTTTTTTTTTTAATATATTTTATTGATTTTTGTACAGAGAGGAAGGGAGAGAGATAGAGAGTCAGAAACATCGATGAGAGAGAGTCATCGATCAGCTGCCTCTTGCACACCCCCTACTGGGGATATGCCCGCAACCAAGGTACATGCCCTTGACCGGAATCGAACCCGGGACCTTTCAGTCCCCAAGCCGACGCTCTATCCATTGAGCCAAACCGGTCTCGGCGGAAAGAGAATTCTTAAATTTGAGTGTTCCGTGCATCCTAACCGCCATAGTAAATTACCATTGGTGATAGTAACTATTCATTCAGAGTTGGTAAAGATTGGAAATGGCTTAAGGCTTGCATATGTGCCCTAAGCAACCAGTTTCTTTATGAACTACATATAAACTTGCTCACGACCTTGTTTCACACAGGTACACTATTACGAAGATGGCAATGTTCAGTTGGTTAGTCATAAAGATGTACAGGATTCAGTAACTGTTTCGGTGAGTGTGAAGTATTTAATGTCTGTCTCATTTGTGTCTTGTTTCTCTTTTAAAAATTGGTTTTGATCGTGAGGGCTGATTCTGCTGTTAGAAACTCTGTTTTCAGTGCTTTGATTTTGGCAGTTTATAAGAGTATATAATCAACCAACTACATTAGTTCAAAGACTTTGGCTCAGAAGAGTGAAGAGTGGCCTTAGAGAATTCAGACTTCCGTCTTTCTCTTTCTCAGTTGTGAGATTTGCTCAAGGACAGCAGTATCTTCAGTCAGTAACAACCAGGAGGAAAAAAAGATTGCTAAGCTAAGTCCTTTCGGGCTGCATTCCTGTCTTTAGAGAAACAACATTTTAGGAATATTCCATCAAAAAGTATTTTGTGTTCTGTACCTAGAAAGAAGGGATATACTTTTTCTTGTATTCTTGCTACTTCTTTATATTCCTAAAACTTACTGAGCACTCTAAATGTTCATGGGAACAGTTGATATACTAAAAATTGTGCAAATGTTAGTTAAGATAGACTTCTCACTGTGTTTTTATTCTTTGCTTTCACATTTTTAAAAATCAATATTTTTTTTCCCCCCATTCACTAGAACGAAGCACAAACTGCCAAGGAGTTTATTAAAATCATAGAACATGCAGAAAATGAGTATCAGGTAAGAAGATTTAAAACTAATTTTTCTAGACCTACTACCTTCTTATTTTGCTATTAACATTTTTTTAGACTTGTCCTTGTGACATAAAAATGTGTTGTTCAGTGTTATAAGTGTGGAGAATTTGCAGACCTTGTAACGTGGCATTGTGCTTACAATCAGGTTTTGATATGGAAAAGGACTGTAGCCCTAGTGTAATAAGTAATATAGGTGGGCTTCTTAACCCACTTCAGAGATTGGAGAGGAGTTCAGTAGAAATAGTGTCTTATCTGTTCTTCCTACGGGACTCAAGCATGTTCTTGACCTCATTTACTTTACTTTGTGTTCAAGTAACTTCTCTTTCATTATCCATTGCAGACAGCAATTAGTGAGAACTATCAAACCATGTCAGACACCACGTTCAAGGCCTTACGCCGGCAGCTGCCAGTGACCCGCACCAAAATCGACTGGAACAAGATACTCAGCTACAAGATTGGCAAAGAAATGCAGAATGCTTAAAGGCTGAGTGGAAGGTTCTTCAGTACATGGAAAGAAAGGTTTCAATGTATGGTCATATGATAAATAAGTGATTTATAAACAAGAGCGATATTTTGCTAGGGCTTTCAAAGTTAACAGGTTTTCCAGCCTCATGGAGTGCTGTTGAACCTGTAGCATTGTCTTGATACTTTTAAGTTCTCTGACTTGTAATTTTCTGTTTTCACTATATCTGCTTGTAAAAAAAAATGTTTTTTTAATTCTGCCACATTTAATGATGGAGAGAAAGACCTATCCTGGAGTCATTTTACTGTTTAGAAAATGTTCCTAGCCATAAAGCCCTGTTTCTGGTATAGACAGGTAAGATGTCCACTGCTTTTCTACCCCTGTCCTTCAAAGCACACCTGGTATTTCCATGGATTATACTGATCACCAACAGCTAAAGAGGCTGTGGTACCAGCTGTAGCCGAATGGAAGATACACCCATCCTCTCCCTCAACTGCCTTGATCATCTCTTAGAGCATTGCATAACTGTAGTTTTCAAAAATTTAGATTGGGGCTTTTCAGGTCCTTTTGTTGGGCACAGGGAGTTTTCTGGAAATTCCATTATAGCCAGCTTCTCTGGGGAAGTTGTTTTTAAATCCAAAGACTTGAACCACATTCCCTGCACATGAACGTGTTTGCTTTTTTCCCTTCCTGGTTGTCTCCTTCCTGTCTTAATACCTTTGTAGTTGTAGACATCTGCATTTTTAGCAGAGTTTTACCCATTATTGTCTTTTTAATATTCCAGAACTGCTGACATACGAGGGATGTAGTAGAGTATCAGAGTTGAAAAATGAAGATGAAGAAATAATAGGTATCTGTGCTTTAATACATGTGGCAGGATTGTACTATAAGCAAACAAATCAAACAGCTATGTAAATCACAAACAAAACCTAAAAACGAACCAAAGTGAAAAAGACAACTTCCAGGCAGTATCTTCCTACTGTGACCTGTTGTTTAAGGGAATACTAGTGATTTGTTCCAAATAGGATGTAAAACATTGTTCTAAGTTACTTTTCCTCAGTCCTGCCTGCCAAGAACTTAAATGTAACTGTGATGTAGCAGCCCCTCCAGGTTTATTGGCAGGTATATGTGTGATCTCAGAATACACAGGTGACACAGATATGAGATGACAACTGAAATGGTGGATTCATTTACATTGTTTACACTTCTATGACCAGGCCTTAAGGGAAGGTCAGTTTTTTAAAAACCAAGTAGTGTCTTCCTACCTATTTGCATATACATGTCAAAAAAGAAGGTTGTTTGTGCTTCAGCTTTGTTTTTGCTCAATAATACAGTCAAGCAAGAGTTTGTTTCCAAGTGACCTATTGAGCTATGTAAGCATATTTGTTTATTTCAAATAAAATATATTTGTATTTTTTGTCATTCATACTATCCATCCATACCACACTATCCTCTGTATCAGGTAGTCCAATAGAAATATACCTGTTTTGTTCTTAAATGGTCTAAGTCTCCTTTTTGATCCGTCCCTTCAGCCTTAGCTCTCAGGGTGACATGTGGAAGTGTATTTGAAGAAAGCATTCAGGGGTCTGATTGGTTCTTACCTTCAACTATTCTGGTTATAGTGAATATACAAAGCTTGCAAAGAATAGGTGTGTGTGTGTTTGGAGCAAAGTCTATGGATCATACTGCTCTTCACTCAGAGACTACCAGTGGTTCAAAGGTTTTGTTTTGGATTTTCAATTTCTGTCAAATAAGAAAATCTAGTTGTTTTCTACCTATCACTCAGGAAGTAGGGCTCCAGTGTGGTTGTAGTCACATTAAACAAGACATAGAAATGAAAGAATTCCGGCCCCTCCAACTTAAGTAATATTTTCACTTTGACTTAACTCTAAGTGCTGCTTTTTTAAAAGCATACAAGTGTGACAGCTAAGGTATGTGGGAAAGGTTTTATGCTGGGCTCCAACCGAGAGCAGAGGAGCTTCGGTGCTTCATCCTCCACCCAAGGCCAGTTCAAATCCCCCCCCTCCCATTTTGAGGGACATTTAACTGTACTGCACTGCACTCTACTCACAATGCAAACAGATTCAAACATTCTGGCCTTTGCCTTTAGCTTATTACTTAGCTGTGGGTTTCCTTAGCCCCTACAGACCTTTTTAATCTCTTGATCATTAAAGCTCTTGGTTACTTGTATACTTGGGAGGAAGTCAACCCTCCTCGCCAAGTCCTTCAGAGATCTCACTTCCTGGACCTCTTTCAGCAGAACACGTGCTTTGAATTATATCTGTTTCGTCACACATTGTTGAATTCAACCTGTGATGCCCATGCTGGATGGAACAGTTTTCTATGAGGCCTCGCTCCTGTATTTTGATTTGAAATTACATTGCTGATGGCTTTCATTTGAGCCTGTGTAGCTGTGCTATAAGTTGCCTGGTTCCAGTATTGTTCTCTATTTTTTAATCTAGAACTTTAATGCTAGACTCATCTGGGTTCCTGAGATACTTGGCAAACCTTGGCACATTCTCTCCAAACTCGCAAAAGACATACATACCTGAATGCCAATTTCTGATTTTATAATTTTATGTAGAACTACCAAGCTACCTACTATGTGGGAAATCAAAGAAAGAAAAGAAGGTTGGTAAATACAGAATAAAACAGCCCTCGCTGTTTTGGTTCAGTGGATAGAGCGTCGGCCTGCGGATTGAAGGGTCCCGGGTTTGATTCCGGTCAAGGGCACATGCCCGGGTTGCTGGCTAGATCCCCAGTAGGGGTCGTGCAGGAGGCAGCCGACCAATGATTCTCTTACCATTGATGTTTCTCCCTCTTCCTTCCTCTCTGAAATCGATTTAAAAAAATTTTTTTAAACACAAAAAAACTAGATAGTCCATTAAGATAAATTGAACTAAAATTGTCCCTTGAACAGACAGGCTATACATAAAAAAAACAGGATCTAGGCCACCTGAGGGCAGAAATCAATCTCACACTTCTCAAAACCAGTGTCTCAAAAAGGCCCGGCTCAGTGTGGCTTTGTCCCATGCACCAGGAGGTTGCTGGTTCAATTCCCCCAGCACATGCTCAGGTTGTAGGCTTGATCTACATGCAGGAGGCAGCCAGTCAATGTTTCTCTCCCTATCCCTTCCTGTCTCTAAAATCAATAAATACACTTTTTTTTAAAGCATCCGTTATGTATATCAATGTACAGTTGACTGGTTATTCATAGTAGTTACATTCTATAAAGTTGCCAATGAACAATGAATTTGCAAATTCTGAGAAATTGCTCTTTGGAGGAATAAAAAATGAGGTTCCTGTGAGCTGGTCACATTTCTTTTAACTAATCAACACATAATCTTATTCTATAAGTGTTACTGTTTAAATCAGCTTATTTGACATACATTATTTATTCATTCATTTTTAACTCATGGCCAGCAGCACTTATAATTTGTGCCTGGAGTGCATATAAAGGAATTTTCTTTGTAAGGCATACCCTAGCGTTCTTGTGCTTTGAAATCCGACACAGTAAGCACTTCAGTACTATGCAGGCTTGGGGGCCATTTTAAGCAATGAAATTGCCCACAAAAAGGACAAAAATGTGATCACACACTTGATCACGAAAAGGGCATTTGTTTTATGAGCTGAAACAAGAAAGGACAGCTGGTAACAGGCACTCTGGGTGGGCAATTCCCCTGTTCCCACCCCCTCCCCCATGGACTGGCCTATGAATGAGTGCTAAAGCACTGCAAGTATTGATTTCAAGGTTACAAATAAGTTTTAGGAGGTGAATTTGTAAGTACTGAGGATCAGCTTGTATTTGCCACAGCCTCTCTGATCTATGGTAAACTGGGCATTCAGTTTAAGGGCTGTTTCTTTGGGAGTTCAGTCTAGTTTGTATACATAAAGTTAGAAAACATTCAAATGCTGAATGGTAGCCATGGCCTGTGCCTCAGTGGTTAGAGCAACAGCCCACACACCAAAGGGTCTTGGGCTTGATTCCCCGTCTGAATTGCAGGTTCTATATCCCCAGCCCTGATCAGGGACAGTGCCAGAGGCAAACAATTGATATATCTCTTTCACATGATCGATCTCTCTACTCTTCCTGCTTCCTCCTTTCCACTCTCTTTAAAAAAAAAAAAAAAAAAAGCCAGGACCGGTTTGGCTCAGTGGATAGAGCGTCCGCCTGCTGACTGAAAGGTCCTGGGTTCAATTCTGGGCAAGGGCATGTGTCTTGGTTGCGGGCACATCCCTAGTAGGGGGTGTGCAAGAGGCAGCTGATCGATAATTCTCTCTTATCGATGTTTCTAACTATTCTTCTCGCTTCCTCTCTGTGAAAAATCAATAAAATATATATATATTTTTTTAAATGAAAAAAATATCCTTAGGTGAGGATTAACAGTTGTAGGACCCATGCTAACTCTGGAGTAATGAGAAAATACAAAGCTTTCAATCTTCCAAGTAGCTATCTTGTGAAGCTGTCTGTTCCAGCAACATCACTGGGCAAAGTTAACTTTCAGATGGCCTTCGGTGCTATGTGGGACCCATCCTAAAATCAGCCTTACTGCTTTCAGGTCAGCTCCGTACACGCGCAGGAGAATCTGGGGAAGGCTTCAAGAGAGTGAGTGAGACCTGAGCTACATGCCAAAGGTGGAAAGGAAGACCATTCTAGACATCTAGGCAACAAGTTTGAAAATATTTACAACTGCTTGTGCAGTGTGTTTTTTCCAGAGGAAACTGGTCTAGAAAGGTTTCGTTATGAGCAAAGCCTACATGACATGACAGTGCAGTTCTTACTGTACCGTTGCTGTTTGTGTATGTTTTGAGGCCATCCAGGAAATAGGCCTCACCAGAGGCAGGGAGGAGGTTATGTAACCAAGAATAATGAGGACATCATCCAGTTGCTCATCAAAACGCAGTCAGACATTGAATTTGGGTAAGGTGAGGGGTAGGTTTTTGAAATACGTAACAAAGCACTTCAGAGAAGTCACTCTTCGTTCCTCTCAGGTCTTGCCAGATGAATTGGGGGAGAAAAGGGCAAAATCCATGGCTACTTTCCCAGCTTTTTTCCTCTACGTCTAATAACCAATTGTTTAAGGCCGCGGTCAGTCAGCACACCGTGGCTCTCGAGCCACATGTGGCTCTTTGGCACCTTGAGGGTGGCTCTTCCACACAAGACCACGGCCTGGGCGAGTCTATTTTGTAGACGTGGCGTTAGACGTTTAAGTTTTAAAAATGTGGCTCTCCAAAGAAATGTCAATCGTCCTGTTGATATTTGGCTCTGTGGACGAATGAGTTTGCCGAGCACTGGTTTGAGGCCATGTTTGCCCCATGCCTGTAGCTCTGGTTCCCTCTGACTGCATTTCCTGTTGCTGAAGCCTGTTGTCCCTGGCCTTGGTGGGTGGTTGGCCTGGGAAAAGGTACAAGGATGGCCCGCACCACCTGGGGTCTGGACATTCCTCACACTAGGTTAGACAGTGTGCCCTCCAAAGGCAGTTACTTTGGAGAGCAAGCCTACCTCTGAAACATTTTTTATAGCTTGCATTCTCTCTGCCCCATCCCAGTGTGCTGTTATGTTACACCAAAAGATGCACGGAGAGGCTTGTTTCCTGTTTCTCCTGAAGTCTTCTGAAGCGTGCTTGTCTCTCCCTTCTCTTCCTGGTCCTGATGCTGTCGCTGCTAATCATGTCTTGCCTAACGCCGTCTCTGGAGCTCAAAAAGTTACTTTGATGATCGGGGCAACATATCAGTAACAAAGAGCAGTACAGAGTGGAGCGCGATAGTCCCAAAATACGGCTCAGGGTGCGTGTAGCAGGATCGCCGGCCTTTCCACATATCAGATCGGAGCCTGTGGAGCAGAGAGCAGCAGTGACTTGTCCCAGCGGCTCCCTCCCTCCCTCCCACGGGCATTCACCTTTATCTCAGAGACACTGGGTCCTTTTCCCTCCAACTTCCCCGGCCCTGACGCCTCCCTCCCTCCCTCCCTCCCGGAGTCTGCAAGCCCAGCCCGGGAGGGGGAAGGGGGACGGGGGCGTGCCGCGCTGGTATGTGTGTGTCCCGGGCCGCCGGGGGAGGTGCCGGGGAGCTGCCCCGTCCGGCGGCAGCCGATCGGGGTCACAGCCCCTGCCCTTTGCTCTCGGCTCCCGCCGGACCGCGGGCTCCCGGGGGCGGGCGCGGGAGTGGCCGGCGCGGGGCCCCAGGCGGTGGGAGCCAGGGGAGGGCCCTGAGGGAGGGGCAGGCTCTTAGGAAGGAGTTAATGGGGCGGGGGGAGGGGACGGCCCGGAGCCCGGAGGAGGGAAGCCTCAGGTAGGAGGAGGAGGAGGAGGAGGAGGGGGAGGGGGAGGAAGAGGGGGAGGAGGAGGAGGAGGGGGAGGAGGGCCGCCGAGGGAGCCGCTGGGGGCCGCGGGGCGCCCGCAGGATCGGAGTCGGCGTGAGGGTGCTCCCCCCGCCGCTGCACCCTCTTCTCGGGCAGCCAACTTCCTGCTGCGGCGGCGACTTTCAGTTTCATTTCCCCGGACCCTCTCCGCCCGCCGGGCCGCCGCCGCCGCCGCCGCCGCCGCCGCGATGCCCAAGTTCAGCTGCCGGAAGCTCCGGGAGGCCGGCCAGGGCTTCGAGAATTTCCTGCTGGCGGAGGGGCTGGACCAGGAGACGGACCGCGAGCGCCTGCGGAGCGTCTACAACGAAAAGTTCAAGTCCAGGTACGGCCGGCCGCCCCGCGCCCCCGATCGCCAGCCCCCGTGGCGCCGGGAGCCCTGCCCCGGGAGGACCCGGCGGCGGCGGTCCGGCCCCGGGGGCGCGGCATCCCCTCCCGCGCGCTGCCCGCACCGCCCCCCGCCCCGCAGGAGCCTCCCGTGCACCCCGCGCCCCGGCCCGGGACTGGGTGCAGCGCCCGGCGCTGCAGGGGCGCGGGGCTCGCCGGGGGGAGGGGGGAGGGGAGGGGGCGGTGGGTGGGGGTCCGGGCGCCGCGCACGCGCGGGGAAGCCGTTCCTGGCGAGCCCAGGGCCGGCTGCACGGCACCCGCCCCCAGGGTGAGGGGCTGCTTCAGGGCCCACTCTTCCCGCTCCTCCCGCCTCCCCCCCAAGAGCCGGTGCAGGAGGGGGGCCCTCAGGGAGCTCAGGGGCGGAAAAGGCCCCAACCGCATCCGTGCCAACCCGCCGCTGGCACCTGTGGCTCCTCCACGGAGACCCGGCCAGGCCAGCCCCCGGGGCCCCCATCCTGCGGCTGGAGGCTGCTGGGTCCATGCAAGTGGGAACCAGAGAGGCTGCACTCTGTCTGTCCAGCCGTGCGACCGGGGGCACAAACGCCCCTGGCGGGAGGCTGCAGGAAACCAAGAACCACTGGCCGGGGATCAGGGTAAAGACTTCCACGGATAAAGGAGGGGCCGGGCTTAATTTCAGACCTGGGAAACAGGGAAGGTCAGTGTGGCTGCTGAAGAGGTGAAAAGTGGGGGATTGTATTCATGGAAATACATGTGAGGGGGAAGGGTAGTGGCTCCATATTGACCAGATTATATCTGGAATATTGGTTTCAATAACGGGTGGTACCTTTTTTACTTATGGGTTTTTGAGAGAGAGAGAGGGAGGGAGAGAGACATCGAGTTGTTGGTCCACTTATTTATGCATTCATTGGTTGGTTTCTTTTAAGTGCCCCAGCGGGGATCGAACCCATCACCTTGGCGTAGGAGTGTCACATTTTTAAGAGGGACATTGACAGGCTGGAGCAACATCTGCAGCAGCCGCAAAGATGAGACGTGTTTGTGTCCCCACACTGCACCGGGCACGTTGGGGCATATAAAGGTGCAGAATGTACACTCCGTGGGGAGCCATAGAAGCTGCGGTGTGCCCACTGTACTCGAGAGAATTCAGTGGAGACAGTGGCATTGACCCTGGCTTTTAGGGATGGAGTTTTAGTATTTGGAGGAGTATTCTCAGTGGATTCATAGTCTGTGGTGAGACCCAGTCCAAAGAAACCAGAAATGTTTGCCTTGCTGGGGGGAACAATGGCCCTTGAATATGTTAAAGACTCTCCCGTGGAAAGAATTAGACTCCTGTCCCTGAGGGGGAACGAGGTTCACTCCACCTGCCCTCCTTGTGCTCCCTACTCCTCCCTTCTCCGGTGGAGGTCTGGGTTCTAAATCGGACTTTCAAGCCCAGGCTGGAATGCTGGGAGATCGCCCTCATGGTCCCAGTGGGAATTCAGTGCTTCCTCCCGGGGGACTCTCATAGCTCCTGCACACCCTGCTCCCAGCAGGATTACACCGGCCTTCGGTAGAGCTGATGCGGGCGATGCTTCCCCCACCAGACTGTCAGGGCCTCTGAACACACAGGTTTTTCATCCTATTTGCACCTGCTGTCAGCACACACACACACCCCCGCCTCTTACAGCCTTGTGTGTAGTAGATGCTCATTAAATGCTTGTGGGACCTAATTAAATTAGTACAGTTGATCTACAAGACAAGGGACGGTAGGGGAGGTATTGACGCTGTCAGCCCTGTCCCCCGCCGTCAGGAATTCCAGGGAGATGCCTGCACTGTTAGGAACTGGCCCTTCCCAGCAGGCTTCTTTTGGGAGGTTACAAACACGCTCTGCTCCCAGTTACTTCTCCCATCTCTTTATTCAGTGAGGAAACCTACGTAAGGAGACTCTGCACTGAGGGGGCATGCAGGAGGCAGCTGATCTAAGAATTCTCATCATTGGTCTTTCAGTCGTTCTCCCTTTCTCTTCCTCTCTGAAATCAATAAAAATATATTTTAAAAATAATAAAGTGTATTTGTCATAGTAATAGTGATCATGATAGGAAATCAATAGAGAGAGCCGAAACTAGTTTGGCTCAGTGGGTAGAGCGTCAGCCTGCAGACTCAAGGGTCCCAGGTTCAATTCCGGTCAAGGGCATGTACCTTGGATGCGGGCACCTCCCCCGGTGGGGGTTGTGCAGGAGGCAGCTGATCGATGTTTCTAGCTCTCTGTCCCTCTCCCTTTCTCTCTGTAAAAAATCAATAAAATATATATTTAAAAAGAGAGAGAATGATCGACGTCTGAAGTCGGGGCCTGTTCTCACCCACAGCAGCCCAGGTGGCTATCGGTAACATAATGGCACCACAGTGCAAGCTGGTTATCAATTGCAGTGCAAGCTGGTTATCAATCGCAGTGCAAGCTGGTTCTCGGGGCGGTGTTCTAGGAAGGAGGGGCAAATGGGTAGACCATGCCGTACCGCTGGAGTTCACATCTAGCGGCACAGATTTTGGACCACAACCTGTTAAAAGAACAAAGATTCCACCGAGTACATTTTAAAGACTGAACTGGCTTTATTGAACAAACTCCCGCATCGGGCAGCATCCCACCTAGTCCAGACAGAAACCCTCCCAGCAAGCTTCTGGGAGGATTTCTGGGCAGGAACGGGCTGGACCAGAAGGCTATTAGCAAGAGAAAAGAGGATGGCTCTGCCCTGAGCACCTTCCGGGGCGGGGCTGGCGCCGGGGTCTTATCGGGCAGGCCCTCACCTCACCGAGTGGATCAGGAAATTCCAGCTGCCGGGAGGTCACATTCCTGGTGTTGGCTGAAACTGCCCCGGGCATGGTGTGTTGTCCAGGAGGCCTGTTTTCTCTCTCTCTCTCTCTCTCTCTCTCTCTCTCTCTCTCTCTCTCTCTCTCTCTCTCTCTCTCATCTCTCCTGCTCCCGGCTGAAGTATGTGAAAAATGCCTCTCTCTCAGGGCGGTATGACGCCGGAATGAGCGATGGCTGGCCAGGCCTTCATCCCGGACTGGCAGCCTGGCCGTCGAGCCGGCACAGGGATGGTTAGTGGTCCCGTGGGTGCCCTAGAAAGTGTCTCGCCTTGGGCGGGAGCCTCATTATGTGACTCATTATTTTATTAACAAATATTGGCTGGATGCCTCCCGGGAGCCAGGTACTAGTCATTGGGAACACACTGAAGGAACCTAACTGTCTGAGAAGGAGGCGGTGATTAAACATAATTATTTAATGACTTGTGATTGTGCTGGTGAGGAAACGGTGTGGAAAGTGTACACCTTGCAGGCCGGCCCTTGTCCAGGAAGGTGAGGTTTCTGGGCGAGAGGGATGTGTGAGCGGAGTCTGGGAAGATAAGCAGGAGCGGGCAGGGGCAGGCGGGCAGGGGAGAGCATTCCAGACGGAGGGAGTAACCCCTTCCCAGTCCTGGGGTGAAGGTGGGAGAAGCCGGGGACTTGAGGCCAGAGGGAGGCAGGGGCTGGAGGGGGGAGGACCGTGTGGCCCCCAGGAGAGAGATTGTGGCGATGGTTCATTTTCTTTTCACCTTCACAGAATCAGGAAAGCACCACGTTTCAGAGTAGGAGAGACCGCAGAATCCGGGTTTTAGAAAGATCACTGGGCTTCTGGCGAGGAGAATGGCTTAGTGCTTGGAGCTCTGTCTGCAAAAAAAAAAAAAAAAGCATTTTCCTTCAGGGCCTGATAAACCCTGTTTCAGAACAATATGTGTCCTTGAAACAATCCCCTGCCCCACTCCCTGCCCGCTGCTGTTTTCAATTCTACTTTGTTTCCATTTTATTAAAAAAAAAACACACACACACACACACACACAAAAAAAACTGGTCTTAACCCACCAATGAAAATTGCAACCTGGAGTTTGAAAAGCATGGAGTTAGATGTCCCTTTAAGATGGCTTCCAACGCAGATACTATGTTCTGAAATCCTCCTCCTCTCACTCTTCCTATTTCCTGAGCTGGGTCTGAAAAGAATGCTGTTCACTCCACCGGCAGCAGCGGCCAAAGTCGGGGTGTTCACAGCGGCAGCCAGGTCTGGAGGGGAGCTGAGAGCCACTGAGGTACCATTAAGGATGGACGGTCCAGCCCTGTCCGGTGTGGCTCAGTGGATAGAGCATCAGCCTGCGGACGCAAGGGTCCCAGGTTCGATTCCGGTCAAGGAAGGGCGTGTACCTTGGCTGCGGGCGCATGCCCAGTGGGGAGTGTGCTGGAGGCATCGGATCGATGTTTCTGACTCTATCCCTCTCCCTTCCTCTCTGTAAAATTTTAAAAAATAAAATAGAAATAGAAAGGATGGACTGTCCATCCTTAGGGTGAGAACCTGTCCCTTATATTCTTCTCTAAAATCTGCTCAGAACCTCGCCTAGTGAGCTCTCGGTGTTTTCATGGTTGACGTGGTTGTATCCACATTGTCATCGGGATGTGGAGGGCTTCCCCTGCGGAATGGAAACCTTAGGCTTAGTCCTGTGCTCGGCGGAGTTAGAACGTGGAGGACTGGTCCGATCTCTGTGCGTGAGGCTAGCTCTTGCCTGTCAGGAGATGGCCCAGGAGAGGGTGCGAAGGAGGGACCAGCTCCCAGACCTGGGGGAGGTGATACAGACCACCAGGCAGCTCCAGAAGACACGGCCATGACTGTTAAACAGAAGGCTAGGTCCTCGGGCTGGATAGTGACCAGGGGGAAATGCAGATTTAAACAAAACACCCTGGCCGAAACCGGTGTGGCTCAGTGGATAGAGCGTCGGCCTGCGGACTGAAGGGTCCCTGGTTTGAGTCCGGTCAAGGGCATGTACCTTGGTTGCGGGCGCATCCCCGGTGGGGGGTATGCAGGAGGCAGCTGATCGATGATTCTCTTTCATCGATGTTTCTAACTCTCTCTTCCTCTCTCTTCCTCTCTGTGAAAATCAATAAAATATATTAAAACTAAAAAATAAAACAAGACACCCT